AAATGTTTTAATGTTGTATTTTTAATGTGAATTATTTTGAAAAGGTCGATCGTTTATCTTGAAAATGTCTGCAACTTTAAATTTTTAATCAAATTAAATTTTACACACATATGTGATTGATGGATCTCGTTATAATGATGTTAGCTCTTGCCTCGGCTGTTGTAGATAAATATGTACATCATCTTTTGTGTGTCGGTCCAAACTTTTACTCTTTGAACAATAGTATTCATAACATGGTTGATGGTAAAATTTATTTGTAACATATATTTTTTTTATGCATTTTTGTTATGGATTATCAGTTTTCAGTCATAGCGTTTCTAATATTTCTATATTGCCTGCTTACTTAACTGGGCGCATGGTAATGAAGATTAACAGCAATTTGCAAAATATGAGAGTTGGAAGTATATATATTTACTCTTTTCGCCAAGACACTACCACAAGCGCAGGCTCGTACTGTGAGCACTAAAGCAGACTTGATATTTCCCAGCACATTTTCAACATTTCTTTTATGGATTGGAGTAGTAGGCTCCGCTGAAATTTGGTGGTCTCCCCTATAATATATTGCAAGCATAGCGCTGAGCGAAGGCGAGTTGTACAGTATGATTTGCGGTGAGTAATTATATATTTGATTATCAAGTATTGATGTATAATGGATAATCAGCGCATAGTTTTTTTCATATGTTGATGAATTTGTGCATAACATTCTTTAAATTTCAACAGTGTTAATCATGAAATAAGGTTTTTAAGGAGTATTGGGATGTGGCTTGAAAAATATTGAAATACACAATTCATCTACTCAGTATGTGAACAAAGCAAAAACTTTGTATTTTAATTAAGCGAGGGATACATCATTTCTGGCCTTCACAAATCTTGCCACTCAGAAAATATTTAAAATATTTGCAAATTGGAGGTGCTTAAACGTGAAAAAGTGTGGTGAGAGGTAAACAAGGCATAATATGATTTATTATGTGTCAATTCTATACTCCAACTTAAATAGATTTCTTGGAAGAAAACCTCGAAGAGTGGTATATTTTTCATTAATGACAATTCCTACTGGAAGCAAAAAATGATCAGCAAGAGATGTATGCAAAGAAGTATGTCTTCAAAAAGAAAAAAAACTCCAATAAACGCTTATTAAAGAGATGAAAATGTGTGTGGTAAGGAAATTAAGAATTATTTATCCATGATGCAGTAAAAATTTTGAACAAAGAAGGAGTTTTAAAGTGTCATTTCGTATTCTAGCTTTTCCCCTCCTCCGAGAATGCAAAAAATAATTTTTGTACGTTTTGATAAATTTTAGTCATGCTCGTATGTATTATCAAAATAATTATTACTGTTCTTGAAAGAATAATTGTTTGTTGAAAATATTTTGCACAAAATATATTTTTGTAAACAGGATTATAATTACTTTTGCTTTACTGATTAATGTGACGGTGCCTGTGATTTGCTCTCTTTTGAAATTTAAAATTAGATAAATGTCATTTATGGCATGCGTAATGTGCTACGCGTTCAGTTACAGAGCTAACAGCATCTGCTACATTATATTGCTTATCCACAAATCATATAACAAATTTGAAGTAAGTTAAATATGGAAGTAAGAAAAAATACAAAAAGTGAAGAATTTTGTATTCTTGTGTGGCAACAAGTTGTTTTGAACGCTGAGGATTTCAAGAATTAATGTTCTTGTCAGGATGTGCCACAAGCTAAATTATAATCGCTTTTATTTTAAGGCACACAAAAAGTATGAGTCGTGAAATTGTTACTATAGCACGCTCCAATTTATATATACATTTTTTTTTTTGCACAAGGTGGTAGATTGAATGTGGTGAAGTCTTTCGGGGCGTGTAGTAGGTCGTTCCGCGATTTACTAACGTGAATAAACGAGAGGTAGTTTTCAGCTATGTCATGATAGTGCGCGCATGAGCTTGGGTGAGTTTGTGTGTGTGTATGTGCGTGCGTGCGTGCGTGCGTGCGTGTGTGTGTGTGTGTGTGTGTGTTTTTTTTAAATTTTGGCTATTACAAGAACTATACTCTTATGAAATAGACATAGTGGTCAGTGCTATTCTTAACGGACACTCCCGTCATTTGGTATGTGTGTGTGAAAATTGAAATATAATTAATAAACAGTTGCGATACTTTCTGATACTTATAAATTATTTAAAGGGATCCTGTGTCTGTGCGGCGAACTTACAAGGAAATGGTTGTTAAAACATAACAATTTTGAATTTATTAGATGTATTGCAAAAACATTGCAAAAAATGTATAAATAGAAAAAGAAGTGTATACAAACTTAATCTTCATTACAGTTTCTCAATAAATATGTATTCAAATTGAGATTTGAGCTCGGGGAAAAAATCAGTTTGATGCCAAAGACATAAAAATTCAACACTCAGACATTGTAATACTTATTGCTGATTGAAATGATCAAAACAAATATTTTTACTATCAACATTTTTAGAACAGTGTGGCGCAACAAACAATATTGTCAGTTGTTTGAGTTTCGGAATTAATTATGTTAAAATTTCATTGATAGTGTAATTATTCAGTAGCTCACCCTGCGAGACGTTAAATATTTTTATATGGTCAGTAGGAACAAATAATATTTAACTTCTACCGGGAAAAGATAAAATATATCAGCAAATGTATAGGTGCAAATATTTGAGCCAATATTTTAAAGTTGAGTATGTCTGTTATTCAATATTTAAATATTGCAGTGCTATCAATAATCGTTTTTGTGTTTATTAAAAGGTGTTTATAAAGTTGTTTCACTGAGTCTAAGCAGTTAAAAAAAAAGTGTGATAACTGTGATAAGCAACAAGAACAAAAACGAAATCGACCTAGGCTCACTATGGCGGATCTGCTCTTTTTTTATTTAAGATGTTTTGCTAAATCTTTGCTACTGCTAGTTTTCGTCCATGCAACAATACAACGTTTTCTAGCCAACAAATATTTTTTCTTAAAAATGTGAATGTTTTGTAAACAATAAAAAAGTACTGATCTGTTATTTTTCTAATATATTTTGTCTGCTAAAATGATAAATGTGGTATTTTTGCAAGAAGGAAACACATTTTTATTTACGATTAAAATTTTGTCTCTATGCAAGTGGGCAATGAATTTTATTGCTACATTAATATTATATTTCTGTTTATGTTTTTATGGTCAAAATGTCTAAACGCTGCGCAATTTTAATGTGTTCAAGTTTTATAATTCAATCATTCATACATTTATTTTTCTTCAAATGCAATTGTAAAAGCGACGAGTGTTGTTAATTTTATTGAAAAGCATTAATCTATCTTGTTTTGTTGGTTGTAAAATATTTTTATTTTTCAAACTATATAAGCAATCTGAATAAAAGTTTTCTTCGCTACACGTGTAAATCACATGTCCAAGCAACAAATATTAAATAATTTATTGTTAAAATTTTATTTTAATTGTTATCTACACATGTCAAAACTGGAGCTTGGAAAATGAACAGAAAAGTTTACACATCTAGCAGTTGCCGTCTACTAAACAAGTCACGTCTAAGACACACAGACGGTGGGGTCAACCGTAAGCTATCGCGAAAAGACCCATTGCACACACTTAAAAATGATGTAAAATTTACTATAATAAGAATAAATTTGCAAACTATTTTGCTAATTTTTATAGATATTTATATTAGTGCTAGAGTGTTTTATTGGTAAAAATTATTTAATATGTAAGTTCTTCATTCGTGCGATTTTTAAATGAGCAGCACTTGCGGCCACGGAAAAGTTTCTTAAATTTCTCGATTTTGTATAAACTGTGTAGGCTTGTTTGTTGCAAATAGAGAGTTTTTTATATTCAAATACGATGCTCAAAGAATTAGTAATTTTCATAAAAACCGGTAATTTTTTTGATTTTCTTTGTCGAGATGTCTTAGCATATTTTTTTTTTCAGATATGTTGATATTGTCAAAATAATCTAATTTCTTTTGTTAAATATTACAATTTTATTATTTTTAATGAGCTTGAAGTGGTCGTCAGGAGTTTTCTCCAGTGAGCAATTCCTCATAGTGTCGTGTAATTATTACGACTCAGAACCACCTCTTGCAACACCGAACCAGCTCTTCGCGGGCCGTCTTTGCGGCCACCAAGAAATCGAGCAAGTTCATCAGACACCGAAGGCCGAAGGGCTCGCGATACCCCTTTAAAGGTCTGCACATGCTCCCCCTCCATTGGCCTACAGCTTGGCCTCTTAAGGACAGTGGCAGTTTCGCCAATCAGCCGCACCGGGCACAGGTCAGCAGATTTAATTATAATAGGGTGCTCGAGGCGCCACTTGGTGTCCGATATATTGTTAGATCGCTGTGCTTCTCCTAGGCCCCCCAAATAGACCTTTAAATGCATGCAGAAACTTGGGCTCCATTGACCTAGTGACCCCCCTTTTGGAAGGAAGGGGGCCAGCAAGGGGTACCCTGGCAGGTCGGAGCGGGGCGCTCGATGCGCCACCTGGTGGCCGATATATCGTTAGATCGCTGTGCCCCCCCTATTATACCTTACTTATCAATAAATTTTCATTGTATCAGATTAATGTTCTTGAATATTAAGATTTTCGTGTAAAATTGGAATCAGGCAATTTTTTTTTAATTTACTTTATAGAGCAACTTAAAATATTGCTTTTATTCTTGATTATATTTTGATCTTGTTTTGCTAATTACAAATGTGATATTCCTTAGTTTGCCATTAATTAGCAGTTTCACGCATCAATTGCAGTCACAGAACATCCATCTAGGTAGTGCGTTAATTTGCCAAATTTCTACGCCAGTGAATTTTCCAGAGAATTCACGCTCAAGTTTAACATCCACAGAGTCCTGGCTTTATAATGACATTTCAATTAGGTGCCGCGCGTCTAATCCCAAATTCAACCCGTCAAGCCAAAATCCTCTAAGCACACAACTCCTGTCTGCCTGTCGCGCTCACATCGGGAAATTATTGACAAGAATAACCTGAGGGCGCTGTTTTGAAAGGAAGTAAACTCACCTCGTTAATGTCGATGCCGTTGCTGACAGACCACGACGTTTGGAAGTAATCCTCGATCCTTTGTTTCAAATCCTTCGGAACCTAAGCAGATTAAATTATAATTAGGCCCGAGCCGCCTACTTATCCACCCGCGGCGGTTGCGCGCACAACTTTTAACTGGATTTTCATGCCAAAAACTTTTCTTTGATGCTACGAAAAGTTTTAACGAACGTGATGATCAACAATGGGATTTATTTCTCACCTGGGCGAGAGCGAGGAAATCCTTCAGATCGGTCCACCTGGCCTGGTACAGGGAACGACGCGAGTAGAGTCTCTGGATTATGGCAGTCACGTTACCAAACACCACAGCATGCATCAGTGCTGCAAAAAAAAAAAAAATTCATATATATTACAAAATAAATTAAATTAAAAAATATTTTGCTCATTAAATTAGTCAGCAGTCAATTTTAAAATCAAATAAATAACTTTTTAAATTTGATATTTTTTCTATCCTTAACTTGAATTTTATTATAAAAACAACTTTTTTTGAAGTTATTCACGAAAATAAATCTTTTTAGCTTAAAAAAACAACCAAACCTGTGACTTATTCACCTAAAATTTGAGCCTACAAAGCCACTTTCTTGAAAACTTTAGACTTTTTAATCAGAAAAAAATTTAATTATAAATATATACTTTTAGAATTTGTCGTGAATTTTATTTCCGTGAAACGTGTTATTCTTTAACCTAGAGGTCATCCATCGATCATCGAATGACAATGACACAAAAAGCATCTCATTTCCGTCACTAGGTCTATCAGATATTCTGGTCACATTGTGATGGTGTTGCTAAAAATAGATCCGCAAGAAGTGCCGCGGGTGCATCTCTCTTGGCCTTTTCTTATAATACGATCTCTGCCTATTCTGCCCCGTGCACAGCAAAAAATAATATTGATTTCTGACTCACCGCCTATGAGCATGATGCACACGCTGAACACCTTCTCGGGCAGCGTGTTTGCCGACACGTTGCCGAAACCGACGCTGGTGAGGCTCGAGCAGGTGAAGTAAAGCGCGGTCACGTAGCAGTCCCACTGGGACAACATCTCCACGGCCACCTTCTGACGACCCGCCAGTTGCGACAGCCAACCTGCAAAATATATTTCCCAAAAAAAAAAAATTATTATACACACGATTTTCTGGTCAGCCATAGTTTTGTGCTAAAATTTCACAGAGATTTTTCAAAAACAAATTTCAATCAATCATTTAAAAAAGGCGAAAAAATTTTATTAAAAAAAGGGTAAGAAAAATATATATCTCATGTATATTGAAGGAAATTCACGTCCCGGGAGGATAGTGGTGGGAAAATTTTCGTCCCAGTCAAATGGTTTGAAAACGTTCCAATCACTTTGCCTGCGAAAATTAAATTTCAACAACTATAATCAATGCTTAGTTCAGGCAACAGTTCGTACAAATGAGCAAAAGGCTAATTAGCATCCCACGTGTGAAATGCATTCCTCTGCTGGTTAATTAATGAAGGCAATTCCTTGCTTCATTTCCACGTGTGCTGCTGAACGCGTTTTTGCTTCAAGTCAGAATCGCGGTTAATTGTGAGGCCGCACGTGGCAATTTTGGTGCGTTTCGGGGCGAAAGGGGTGCGTTGGCAGAAGCTCTGACGTCACCAAACCTAATTACGCCTCTTTCCTTGATGCAATTTGCTGTGCACGCGGCATTTAATTTAACACCGCCGCCGCCGCCAGCGAAGCAAACCAAATAATCTTGGCCAATTCGTTAAGTAACTGCCGTTAATTTTCACTTTGTTTTAAGCCTCAGCTTGGCTTATTTATCCTGATTTTCTAAATGAGGTTAATTTGTGGCACTTCTGTGAATCTTGTATCAAATTTTAGTAAATGATTATAAGTTTACATTCAAATTTCTTATTTGCCGATTTTTAATTTTCAAAAAATATGTAAAATTATTTAATCTGGTTATTTCAATATCACTCTATTTTAATTTATTTAACTTTATTTATGAAAGATATCTTTAAAAAAGTTCATTATTTGCAAAGCGATTGAAAGTTTTCAACCTTGAAGATTAAGATTAATCCCATTTTCCTGCGCAAATCCAAATTGTTTGAACATTATTTTTATTTATTATATTGAATTTTGTGCTTTTTTGAGTTTACTCACCAAGATTCCAGTCGGGTTCGTGGAACTTTCGCTCCCGTTCGGCGATCACGTACCAAATGCAGGCCATCCAGTGCGCCACGAGGCTGAACGAGAGCATTAGCAAGGTGAGGATCATCGCCGAGTACTGGCTGTACCGGTCCATTTTTTGCAAAACTCGCAACAGCCGTAAGAGGCGCGTTAGTTTCAGCAGGTTGATCTGCTGAGCGTGGCTCGACTGAAACACAAATAAAGTATATGCATGGATTATAATATTTGAAAAATGCCATTTTCATGATTGAAATTACGATTCTTTGGTAATTCTTTTTATATGAAGACTAAAACTTTTAATAAACTGGGATAACTTAAAAAGCAGGTTTAAAATTATTTGTACAATTTTTGCCTCATTTGTACTTTCAATAATAAAATAATTTAATTATACATTAAATTTATTACACTCTTCCTTGTTGTTAATTTGTCACTGACCAAAACTTTTAGAGTTGTGCAAACTCTGTCACTAATTAAATTTCGCCGAATTTTTTTAGTAGTGCGATGAAATTTCGCGAATAATCCAAAGTGAGAGAGCAACTGAATTCCTCTCCGCACACAACACCGGCTGAGCTTTTAATCAAATATTTATCGATTCTGCAGGTGCCCGGATAATTAATGGCAAAGGCTCTGTGAGGAGGTAACAGCAGCAGGTGATTTTGACTAAACGCGCGCGACTTAATTAAACGGGGAGGAAAGTGTGGCGAGAGGGGGTGAAATTGGGATCTGTCTCAATTAATTGACGCTGCGGGCGAGATTTTGAAAATTCACATATTGAGAGACCAAATTGTGCGGGGGTTCGGCAGCAAAGGCCGAGGATCAATGACCCTATCACTTCTGCACCTCCATCGAGCCCTTTGCTTGTTATTCGAGCGGAAAATCGGCATTCGCTGCCAAGGTGCTCGTTATGCAACAGGAGTGACAGCACCGAGTTGCGGGTTGCATAACTAAATTCCGAACGAGAACAACCGATGTTTGATAACTTCTCTGCGCTGAAACGTCCAATTAGAAACATAATAAAAATAAATTTTGCCACCTTAGCAACCGAAGCAAATTAAAAAAAGGAAAATTTTGCAAGCTTAGCAACCCTAGCGATATAATCAATAATTAAATTTGCTAATTTTGCTCGATAGAAACCCTAGCGAAATAAGCAATGGCTAAATTTGCTAACTTAGCAACCCAAGCAAATTTCCAAAAAATGCTAATTTTGCTACGTTTGCTAGCTATGTGATGACTCGATGAGATTTTGGATTAATTTTTGGGCAATAATTAAAATTCTAAACAATTATTTTCTTCAGAAACAAAAATAATATTTAAATAATAATTAAAAATGAAATAACCAACCAGTTGAATTTTTTCGTAAAATTAATCTGAAGCTTTATTCTTTGATTTTATTATTTTTATTTTTTACCCATTTACTGTATCCTATTTTTTTTTTAAAATAATTACTCCCAAGCGTCCTGATTAATCTGATAGACAGCCTAAGTGTCAAAATCACTTTTCTTCCTTGTTATCGGACGGCTCTGCTCAAACATCACAAAAATTAATCCGCCAGTCAGCGTTTCTGCGAGCTCGAGCAGCGACGTGAGACCGGCAAGATATTGATTCAACAAGTTGCACACGTACACTCTCCCGCCTCTGGATAAATTGAGTCGCGAGCGTACGCGTGTGAAACGGGATTTGCCGCCGCTTACTCTCGTCGACGCGATTTTTCATTAGCTCGTCTCTCCGTGGAATGACGACGAGAAAAAATCTAATTACTAAGAAGGAAAATGGGAAAAAATAATTTATATTTCTGTCTGGCAATCTCGAGTGCATCATTTAAATTTTAATTCCCTTCTTCTTAATTGAAAGTTTCAATTATGGAAATTTTTACAAATTGAAAAAAAACCTTTCTTGTTTAATAATAATAAAACTCCGCTTGTTTCTCTAGAACAGATTTTTAGTTTTCCTTTGGAATAATTTTATGTTTAGAAATGTATTCATTTGAAATAAGCAAATCGTCATTTTGCAGAACGAAGAGACCAAAGGAGCTTATACATCTATTTGCGATAATAGTTTTGCAGTGAGCGCAAAACTCACAAGCTGCCCATTTTGTGTAAAGGGAAGTGATAAATTGATACAAACATACCGATTCGTCTTAATAATTTCTTCGCAAATAAAAACACCAAAAATCTGTTAATTTTAGAACAAATTTAAACATTAAAATTCTAAAAAAAAAACCTTTTTTTTAAATTAATTTTCTTGATAAATTAGTTTTTTTTATAAATTGAATGTATATATAAAATTTGTTTTAATTCGACGTTTCAAATTATTATCAATTTAAATATTATGTATTTAGGTTTGTTTTCAATAACATGTAAAATTAATAAAAGAAATTGACTATTACTGTTACTAACTTTTAAAATAATGTACGAAAATCTGTCATTTTCAATCTGTCACGTCAATCCTCTTTCTCACTTAGAAAAAAATTATTCAAAAATACTCAAGAGACGGCGCTTGAGAGCAGTTATTTGCGGCACTGCCCGGGTTCAGGTGCTTTTGCAGCTCGGACTTCCACGCAACTCACGAGCGGCATGTTCAACTAATAGGATTACGGTCAAACGAGCTGGGTGTGGTGCTTCCAGCTTTGTCCGACTGCAGCGTCAATAAATTCGCAAACATACATTTGAATACGTGCAAAAATTATACGCAAATATTTTAGGTATTGAAAAGTTACAGACCAACGCACGCATTTTCAAAGACAAATGTTCATCTCATAAGTCATGCGGGGAAAAACAAGCTTGAATGACATGCAGCGTTTCAGACTTCAAAGAGAATGAGTTGAATAGGCGGAATGGAATGTGAAAGGCAGTAAAGAGTTTGTGGAATACTTAAAGCGTGATTATATTTCCTGCTCCATTCTTAATTTTCCTGCAGTTTTCTCTTTAAAAGCTTGAAGGGCTTAGGAATTTGCAAACTATTCGTACACTTAATTCCCGGAAATCGGAAATTTTAAAGTTATGTGATTCATAAAAATATTTTATTTGTTGTCATAGAAGATAACAAAAGATCAAACTGAATATAAATTAATTAGCTACTTAAAGAAAATGTGCAATTAATTCCCAGTTTTTATTTATAAGTACTTTTCAAAGCTTGCAGTTCCTTAATGTAGTGTTCAAACTTGCAAAAATTAATAAAAAATGAACAGTATTTTGAGTGCTTAAATTTTTATAAATTATAAGCAGCAGTTATAAAAAATGTTTATAATTAAACTTTGTAAAAAAGTTGTTAAAATAATAAGTTTATAAATATAATTGTTGAATTACTCTTTGGCTAAATTAACTGTATTCATCATGTTAATTTCCGGCAGTACTTTGCTAATTTTGCGTGGAATAACGAGCACGCTGCTTTATAACTTTTAATTCAGAGACAAATTTCAAAATTTTGTTACCTCGGCAGTGTAGACGTCGGAAGCGTAGAGGAGATCAAAGGGGATGGCGGCGAGCAGATCGACGGCGAACCATCCTTTCAAGTAGTTGAGCGCGATGCTGCGCGGCGAACTCACCACCTCGCCTTTCTTGTTCACGTAGGTTGTGCGAAAGTTGAGAATTATGTCTGAAACAGATACGGCCCTAATTATGTGCCTTTTCCTCTCCAGCGGCCTTTTTGACAGGCTTTCCGATCTGTCAATTCCCTTGGAGATAAAATATATAAATTTCGATTATAATATATACGTAGTCTTATCTAGAGTGAGGCTTTTTAGTCGGCTGCGGTGCACCAGCTTGGCAGATATGGTAATTGCTGAGCGTAAAAACTTTCCGGTTAGCCCGCAAAGTGACATTGCCACAGGTGGTTTGCGCGTTTAAACACGGAAATTTCCAAACGGAGAATCTTATCTTCACGGTAGAAGTTTGGTTAAAAGTTTTGAAAAGTTTCCCAATCGGTTTATCCGAAGTATCACAAATTGAAAAGAAAAACTGTTTACTGAAATTTGTTTAATAAATATTACGGGAAATTTAGCAGGATTTGAAACGAAAAAATTACCACGAATAAATAAATAGCTTAGATAATTTTTTTACTTTTTAATTGATTAAAACGGCACAAGTTAAAGATAAATTAACTAAATCAAAATGATTTAAATATTGCAGTTTAATTGATTATATTTAAATTTTAAAAGCATTTAAAAGTTTGTTCTGATACTGAATTGATTAAAAAAAATCTGATAAAAAATTTAATTTTTACATTTTCAAAAGCAAAAAATGGTTTTCTTTCCTTCCTATGAAAAAACAAAAGAACTTGACTAAAATTTAAGGAGTATTTTACATGATTTCATTCATTTTTTAAGGAACCTCATCAACAATCGATTTTGACTGGTCCTGCGGTAATTGCGAGGTCTGCTTTTGAACGGCGAAAAATGGCGCACGTCAGATTTGATGCTCGAACGAGCAATCTGGCTGGTGGTTATTGATTTGCCATTCAAACTCTCTTTTCGCATTCAACTCGAAATTATAAATCATCGCCGCGAGTGCTGCGATTCACGACGAGACTCGCCCTTTGCCGTTGGAATCATCCCCCTCCCCCTCCGCCGGTAAAGCACCCCCGCAACTCTGCCTATTGATCAAAATCAGCTTCCATTTCAGACCGAGATCGGTCGTACGAGTGGAATTAGCCAATTAGCGAGTTGCAAACCTCAAAACTGAATCGGCTCCTTCGATTGCAATTGACATTTTCCTCTCTTTATCGGGCTTTAATCCCGGCCGCGGTGGATTAAGCTGATTGCACGCGACGGGGAGGATGCAAATGCAATTAAACAAATTAAGGATTGACAGATGCAGAGCGCGTAATTGTCTAGACCAAGAGGCAACGCCGGTTGCATAACTTTCGGTCCCGCAGGCGCCATCAAACAGATTGAGTTGTATAATTACAAATGCCCTTTGAGTTGCAAGATTCGCGTCTGGGATTTTCGAATCCAAAGTTTGTTTGGCAAATAAATATTTCCTTCAGCAATCGAAAGCACTGAAACAGATTTTTTGCACAATATTTAATTATAATAGTAATTTGCTTATATAATTAAATCAATTTAATTTAAATTAATTCAAAAACCAAAACTTTAATTCAGACACGTTTAGAAAAATATGATTGTAAAATCACTATTGAAATTTCCGGAAATTTGATTACTCAATGAAGGAATATAATGCTATAATCTGTATAATTATTGAATCATATTTTGAAGGCAATAAGTGGATTAATTTTTGGCATTAAATAACCAAAAATTAATTTATTCAAAAGTAAAAAAAAAAATGAAAGTAAATTGAATGGAAGTGAAAACTAAAATGATAAATCAGATTCAGCTTGATGTTGAAATTTTGAGAAATATTTTATAAAATTTATATTTTTTCCTTTCTTTTTCAACAAGTTTTCTAGAAGAAAATCCATTATGTGTGACTCCTAATGCACAGAATATTGTTAAAAAAAACTAATCAAGGATTTTGTATGTAGATTCTTAATTTAAAAGTTAAAAGTGTAAATTTCTTTAACTTTTTTTAACCTTTTATCTTCTTTCAAATAAAATTCATTTCCTCATTTGAAGTAGCACGTGGAAGCACAAATAAAAGAACGAGCTTTTTTTATCCAATTAAAGGTTGAGACGAGTTTGATATTAAATGGCACACACGCCTGCCCGTGATGAGAAAACAGCAAAAGTTTGATTTGGGATGCCCCGAAATTGCTATATTCGCGGTGAGAAGTTGCGAGTGGAAAGTTTGGCGCGTTGATTGCTGGAAGGAAGCAGGAGTTGGGCGAGAGATTTTCTTCTTACTTTTACGGAGAAAGAGGGAAAGCTACTCACCGCCGATGAAAAGAGACTCGACGGTGATGTCGGGCAGCAGGTTTCTCGAGTCGCGCTCCACGTCTTTTTGCACAAAGGCCGCGAGAAAAGGGACGGCGATGGCTACGTAGACGGTGGCGATCACCACCAGCCAGTCCCACACGCCTTTGAGCAGGCCGTAGTGCGAAAAAATGAAACGCGATCTCTTCACCGACGACGACTTGTACTCAGGCAGTGGTGCGGGATTGTGCGTCAACAGTGACTGTGGAAAAAAGGAGCAAAAATGGTTTTGAGACAACAACAAAAAATAATCGTTTACTTTGATAGATTTTATTTTCAATACTTTGTCACTAAGAAAGTTTTCTTTATTGAAACAAATAAAAAAAGGAGGAAAAAAAGTGACATAAAGAATTAAAGTACATATATGCAATGGAGCTTTAAATTTCTGAATCAATTTAAGTTAGTTCAATCAATTCGGCACAATTTATTATAATAATAATTCATCCAGAATGGAAACAATTTACGTTAAAAGTTGAATTTTTTAAATTTCATCATACAAAGCTTCCGTTTATTTTGACTACTTTCCACTTTTGTATGCAAACAAAGCGACAACCTCGAATGAAAATAAATATAAGAAACTCACGCTGCTGATTTTGATTTTGGGTTTGACTTTGTCCTGGTGTTTGTAGTGGCCTGACAGTTGATAGAGGACGGCTCTGCTTCGGCGACGACCCATGTGGTTGGCACTCGGCATTTCGTCGTCATCCTCCTCAGGGGAGTTGAGCGCGCCTGCAAACACAGCGGCCGGGGGCAACGGCCGAGCTTAGTTGGTGCCGCTAAACGCCATTAGGGTGAGTAGATCATTTATTTACCCACGGAGAGTCAATTAAAATCAGAGGCCCAAACTTTTGCCCACACACACTTGAGATGGATGGATCACTTTTGGCAAAGTGTGAAACACGACTTTGCCCTTTGAAGAGAGGGTTGCCTACAGCAAGACCGGTCAAGTGGCAAAGTTTCTTCGCTGATTGTGGGCAAAGGTCTCGATTTCAAAATATAAACACACGGTGAAATTAATATCGGGCTTTTGATTTCACTTTTTATAAGATCAAAGAACCACTCCGGTGATTTTTATTGCTCTTCAAACAGTATCAAATTTTAATTGTACATCTTGTGAAAATTCCAAACCGTTGCGTGGCAATCAGAAGAAAGCTTTGCAAGAAAAACGTTTGAGGATTAAGTTGCAGGGGAATTTCTGTCTTTTTGGTCAAAAAACTTCAGCTTTTGGTCACTGGTGGCGCTGCGATCGCTGATTTTGCCAAATTTTCTGCACAGCGCCGTGGGGCATGAGTGACTAAATCAGCAATCGCAGGAGTGGGACTTTGAATCCAGTAAAAATGTTGAAATTACAGATTAATTTAAATTTAACATCAAAAACTCAATCATTTTAAATGATTTCGCGTTTAATTTTGGTTAAAAATTTTAAAATTGATGCTTATAAATTTGAATGTTTGAGAGAGAAAAACCCATAATTTTATGAATAAAAATATATTAAGTTATCCATAACTCTGTTGATTGTGTGATAAAATACAATTTTACGTTTCTATCACTTCCTTTTTTCAAAATAAATCAAATACTCTGAACAGAAATTTGATCTGAAAAGGTCTCGTGTTTCCACTTGACAAAGGCGTAGACGAAACAAAAGGCCGACCCGGCGGCGCGGCGCCAAAACAAGCCAGGTTAATTAATTAGGCGAGACTCACCTGGCATCAAGCCGGGCACGCTGGTTCCTCCCTGCATCTCGGCCATTTTTGTACTCGTGATGTCTTTGTGCGAGGCGAGAAAGAGAACGACTTCTCGTTTCTCGTTCTTGATCGGAACAATGTCCAGTTGGCACCAGAACGGCGAGCCTGCGTTTTTCAACAAGAAAAAAAGAAAAGAAAAAGTGCGTACATTATTTTTACTTTTGTCTCGTTTTTCCAGCACTAGAGAGAACGAGCAACGCATTGTTAGTCCCAAACAAAAGCTGCACCAACCCCCTTCCGTATCGCAATTGCAAAGGGCAGGTTATTTAACCTTAAATAACGACGAGGGAGCACGCAAAAAAAAAACAAGAGGAAGCAGATGGCGGAATAAGAGTCTTTTCCTATTAGCTGGGACTGATTTTCCTGGAAAAGTAACGAAAGCTTCCATTTTTTTTCTATGTGGCTACTTTCTTATTCAATAAATGCCCCACGAGATATTTTACAAATTTTAAAATTACTAATTGAATTGAGAAATTTTTTTAAAGATTTTTTAAATATTTAATTAATAAACTTTATAATTATTTCCAATTCAACAATTGATCCATTTGAAATTTCTATATTTGAATGCAATATTTTCAAGATTAATCTTAACTTATGGATTAAATCATTTTACACAATTGGATATTTAATAAAGGGATCAATTTTCCGTCTCTTGTAAATGCAAATTGAGCTTTGTCCGTTGCTAATGAAATCACGTATGTACCATTCTTCTTGTAAAAGATGACCTCGATCTTGAGCTCCTGCTTGTCGAGGAGGGAGTTCTCGATGGCCTCCCGGTGCTCCTCGTTGGTGTCGGCGCCCCATAGGAATTTGCACGCGCAGCTCTTCTGCATGATTTGGGCCCGCGCCCATCCAGTCAGCTCGCAAAAGCCGTCAGAGCAGTAAACGATCGGATGCGAATGTGTCGGCACCTGGGCATTCCCAAGCACGAAGTTCGAGTCTGAAAACACACAGAGCGATGGAAATAAATTAGTTCAAAAAAAAATATTATGATTTAAAAAAAGTGCAAAAGTTTTAATATTTCGAAAGAAAAATCCCAATTGTTATTTTTGGCAAGATAATTCAAATTTTTTTCCAAATGAGGAAATAAATTCAACATTATTTTATTTTTTATTTTTCTTCATTGGATATCATTTCGATTTTTCTTTCAGCAGCTTGTTTTGAGAATTGGTTCTAAATTTAAAATCACACGCTGGATTTCTCATTCAACAAGGGTGGCATCTATCACGTGGAATTTGGCGACACATTATTTTTCAGAGACCGGTCCAGAGATTGCATTTTGTTTCGGAGGAAAGAAAGCGTAAACACGCCGGAGAGGAAGTTCGGCTCGGGCCTGTTTAGTGCGAGAGTTTTATTTTGGACGAGATTTACGCGGCATTGTGTTTAATGTCATCACACGCACAAGATTAATAAACTGAGAGAGAGAGAGAGAGAGCGAGGGCTTTGCACGCCCATAATAAAAAAGCAAGGGGCAAGAGCTGTGTACGCGCGGATGACGCTCGGTCGCCAATACGTTCACTTCGTCCCAGACAATGAGCTTAAAAATAGGTGAATTTGATCATTAGAAGAATTTTTGCACAAATAAAGCAGCTCGCCAACAGAGTTTTTCCGGCCAAAACTTAAAAAATAAAAATTAAAACCTCTCATTTCGCTACATTTTTTGATTTTAAGATAATAAAAAGTAAAAAACTAGAGAGAGAGCATAAAAAAAAAACAATATCTTTCGGGGAATCGGAGATTTGAGAGAGATCGATATAAAAAAAGGTTCTTCAAATAACAACAGAGCTTTTCCAAAAAGACATACAATCTTGTATCTTTGCATTAAATTTCACACACGCCTGAGAGGAAAATTTCCCAGAATACCCTGTTCAATATTTTGATTGTCTGAAAAATGTGATTTTATTCACCTTCGAGGATTTATTCATGATATTTTTATTGAAAAATGACATTTCCTTGATGGTTTTGTGAGACTTTGCTATTTTAGTTTGAAATAAAATATCTTAATTTATATTATCTGTGATCAAATCAATTGCTTTATATAAGAAAAATTCAAAAAATTGTCTCCTATGCATTTTTTCTTAAATTGCAAGCTGCGAAATTATTTAATGATAATTTTGCATATATAAAAATAGAGTCTTTCTCAAAACTTATTTTATAAATGTCATTTTTTAAGAACTTTTTGCACTAAAAATTTGTGACTGAATTTGAGCAATTCTCTATTTGAACTTAATGATAGTTGGAATATTTGGCAAAGGATATTATTTTTACTGTAAATCAATGACTATAAAAAAAAACCCACAAAGAAAATGTCATTTTGCAATTCTGAAAATTGATAAAATAATTTACTTTTGAAATTTACTATTTTCATTGCACTTTTTTGTAAACAACGGAACTGCGTATGAATTTTTTCCGGAACTCTTGAAAATTGGGACAGGAAACTCGCGCAGGAAAACGCCGGAAATTGCGTGAATAAACGGAGGGAGGAAAGTGGGTCACGTTTGTTGAGAATTTTTTATTGTTTTTCTTTCCTTTTTAAAAAAGCAGCAGCTTTTCTACGCAACTTTTGCATTGTAATGGTTTCGTGCGTGATAAGAGCCGTCGCTGATAAAAACACGCCACGCACAATCAATATAAACTCCATCACATTACACGGCGTTTATCTGGCCTCCTTTCTCATAACACCCCTTTCGCTTTTTATACTCTGACTGTGCAAATAGTGCTCTCACGAAAAAGAGCAAACAACGAAGGCATTAATCGGCGAGTGCTGCGAAAAGGAGGGATTTTGTACAGTTTTACCGCGCCCTAGCCGTGTTTGATGTTTGATCATCAAATATTGAAACCGGTTGTCAGCGGATATTTAACCATCTGTGCAAATTGTTTGCATTTTGTATGCAAATTTATCTACTTTAATTTTGCATATTTAACACATTTGAACTTTTATTTATTAAATTTGTGAAGAAAAATAAAACCCATTTTGCCAGAAACTCGCCCCAGAGATGAATTTAAACTTCAAATGAAATTCCTTTTAGTAATTTAAAAGACAATTATAGTTATTTTTATTATAGATATGGGCGTTAAAAAATTAATCTTTCTAATTTTAGGATAAGTAAATTAATAATTGACGGTCCAGCAAGGACTTTTTTTTACTTTCAATTCAACATTTAACCTCAGACGAGGTCTAAAAACAGTTTTAAATTTTATTTCTGCGTGAAATATATGTGATAAATAAAATGCCTACAAATAAATTCAGCAAAATGGAATGCCTGGGGAACGCAGAAATTTGTAAAAGGCCAAAACAGTTCAACCGTAAATTAAAAAACGAGCCCTTTTTTCCGAGTCAGCCACTGCGTTTGTATAAACGAAAACGCTTATTATTATTAATATTTCAAATGGCACGTCCGTGTTGAAAAAAATTCCTCTCGCACGCAGAACGTCGCATAAAAAATTCATTCGCTGCGGTTACGGGGGTTGATGGGTGGGTGAAAGAACAACAACACAGACATATCTTTCTACTCACGTGTTCCATCAAAACGCGTCGCTATTGTGTCGAGAAAGGTGTTTTGCGGGGCTAACAAGCCCTTTCTGCCCGGCATCACCTTTCATAAAGGCAGCAGCCACACTCTGCAAAAAAAGAGCAAAACACGTTTTATCACCCGCGGTATTACATAAGATATGGATGGGGGTGAAAATGCTCTTATCCCGCGACAAAAAAACTTCGCATTTTCACCCCCTGCTGATGTGTGTAAAAGGTAAAAAATGGGGGAAAAAAGCATTTCTTTGGTCATGATGCTCAACAGGGGTGCGATTCGAACCGTCAAAAACCGTGAAAGCTACAAATTTTTTTGCTGTAACCTTAATTGGAGGGGACGAAATGAGCTCAAGAGGTCCAGAGAAGAGAAAAAGTTCATTTTCAAGAAAGATTAGTGCAGAAAATTTAAATTGATTTAACGTAAATATTTTCAGCTTTGTTTTTTATTTGACTTTGATGAAGGGCAATATTCATAAAGAAATAAATAAAGTCATTCATTAATAATAAACAATCAAAGAAAATAAATAAAAAATATTGTTTATAAAGTTTTATGAAAAAAAAAACAAAATTTACAAAACCATATAAAGCAGAGAAAATGAACTTTTGTGCTTGAAAAACTTTCTAAATTGGCGAAAAAAATCATTTTATCCAAGCCTGATGTTACATTTCCGTTTAATTTCCTCCCCTATTCAATTCGGTCTGCTCCAAGGAGTTCATCAACATATTTCTTCCTTTCTTTTGAATATGCTTCCTCATAAGTTTAATCAAGTTTCATTTTGTAAAAATGCTGAATACTTTTTTCTGCGTTCTTAAATAAACGCTTGCAAGGACTGAGAAGAATCCTTGCATAATTGGACCTGGTTTCGCATTTCTTTTCACTCCAAGATATTACTCTTCTTTTTTTTAGTGTGCTCCTAATTAAGTTGGTTTTATTTTCCCCGAGCACGACACCGGCCAATTTTGTTATGCAAAGTTCGCGCGACCTCTTCACCGGGGAGAGTAAAAGTTGCCCTCTTTTGCTGACACAAAAGCATGCATTGCCCTTTATAAAATAAATCTATAAACATATGATTCAAGTCTTTGATGTTGAAAAAAATTACAATGAAGCCAACAAAGGCGAATAATTGACCTTGATATTGCGGCGCTGGACCTCAGCGACATACTTTGATGCAAGATAGTTAGGGTAAAGGCTAAAGCCAGGCAAGCGCTAAAAGGATTAGGAAAGAGGATTAATTTGCCATACCCTTGTGTTGTAAAAAAAAATAACTTTTTTAGCCACTGAATTAAATTTTTAATTTAAAACTTATTTGGTAAATTATTGTTGTAGGATTGACACAAAATTTTTAATATATTTCATTCTTTTTAAAAGAATAATTAGAAATCCCCTTTCAAGACAGTTTGCGAGCTACTGATCTATTAATTAATTATGGGAAAACCCTCTGCCTAATTCATCAAAGTCGGAGAGCTATCGGAGCGTGGTGGCTTTTTCTCTTCATTAAAGGAAAACTGGGGATGCCCCAAGCTTCAAAGTTCAGCAGATATTACATAATTGAATATCCCGTCCGCCTACTACATCTTTTGGCAGGAATTTTCCTCCTACGAAGTTGATCGATTTGTAGTTTTTTCCCCTTTTAATTGGCCTCTCGGGGTTGTTGAATTTTTTTAGTCCGTATGTGGTTTCGTTTGATTGAGTAGCGTTCGCCATCGAACATTTTCAGCATCAAAAGAATCTATAGATAGAATGTATTGCTTTTAAAAATAAAAATAATAATGCAGTAAGGGTAAGGGAAAAAACTTTTTTAGAAATTCAGCTGCAAAAAAATTATGGAAGTGAAGAGAATGCTCTTTTTCCTCGTTGTATAAATTGTTTTTATTTTGTATTCTAAAAAAGAACGACTCATATAACAACTTTTAAAATAAAAACGAGGAAAATGCCCGAGTTCTCTTCTCTTCACAGTCTTCACTTCTTCATCTCATCGAGTGCAAATTTCCGCAAATTACTTCAGACGAAATATGAACATTTTATAAATATGTTGTTTAGGAAAGTTTTAATGAATGAATTTTTATTCTCTACGTAAATTTTCTCTCTGAAAATTAATTATTAAAGTTTGTTTTCTTTGAAGTAAAAATAAAAAGAAATTGTGAAAATTATTTATAAAAAGTGGTACTTTTGTTCATTCAGGGCACACACAAAAAACAAGCATTTGGTAATAGAAATTATCTTAGAAACAAATCTGCAATCTCAACCAATCTGAGAAGCTCTTGATTTCGCTGAGGCCTCTGATTGGCTAATGTTCAGATTTATATGAACCTCACTGCCGCGAAAAGCACATGATTGAAGATTTATTTTTCTACCTGAAAAAACATTTTACATATCGACACTTCCTCTTCTTCTACACTTTCCCGTAGATCCAAAAAAATTACCGTAGTTAGTCTTAAACTCGGTTTGAAATGCAAAACTTTCATGGCAAAACGCGATTACTTTTTACGACACTTTGTTAGTAACAACGAAATTAGCCAGGAGGTTTATATAATCGCTAGGGGCAGTTTATAGTGAAGGGGGTGGAGGAGAAGAGAGACTGATCGGTGCGAACTGCGTGGCAACTGCGACGTGCAGGCGTCGCGCAAAGAGCAATTCCGTGTTCGCCGAGTCTGAGAGTGTGGGCCATAAAAGTCGCAAGTCTGCAAACACCTTTGCGCCTGTTGTATATAAAATAAAATACATTTCATTACGGCGGGAGTCGTTCGACGGAGGAGCTCTTTCGCTTATTATTTCACGCCGCGCGCCAACAACAGGTGCTTCGTTCTCTGACAATCAAATTCAACGCGTCAAGCAAGAGCAAAGGGTTCTTCGCCTGCAGGCCAATGCAAATTCTCGAAAACGAATCTCGATCGCATATATAAGAGAGAGAGAGAGGAAGCCAGACTGGAGAGCAATTTGGCAAATGGCTCTGTTTTGATTGGGCATTTGCATACCAAGGACGGCCTAGAGGACCGAACTTTGAGCAGGCCCTTGATGATAAGTTGGCTCCTTTTCTCGAAGGAAATAAAAAAAGCCCTTTCCGTTACCAGGCAACGTGATTATAAAAAAAGAGGCGAAAACGTGCACAAAGGAATTCTCATCACAATTTTTCTCTTTATTGTAACACAAAAATTAGGAAAATAAAAAAAAAATGTAAAAAATTGCAATCTCCAAACTTTTGCAAGTACATAATATATACCGCTTTTTAAATATTGTTGTGGTTAAAAAAGTTAATTTAATAACAGGATAAAACACAATATTGTCTTCTTAAATAATGCTTATTTATCAGGAAACGCCAGTAGTTTAAATCAATAAAAATGAATATTATCTCAACTTGAAATTTTTCAACAAAGTTTCCATCATATAGTAATAAAGACTTTAAAAAAAACAGTGGTTAACATTATTTCTATTTTTACCAGCAATAGCTAAAAATAGCTATTTACGTTGATAAAATTCTGAAAAAATACAAATATGTTACATTTGATGTCTTTCTATATCATTTCATCCTTCAGCATCAATAACAATGGCAAAGTTTTCTGGTTGAGTCGCTGAGGAATATTCGAAAGGAGAATATGATATAAATTGGGAAGGTACATTTATATATAGTCCCTTTGATGAGTTGCCGCTCGCGGAGATATGAAGAATCTTCTTCCCTTAGCAAAAAGAGCAAAATCCCGCTCAGTGGGGAGGGAAGAAGAAGAATTTTGCAACAATTCAAGCCGGCAGCTGCTCCCCAGCCGGTGGAATAAATTTCGCGCTACTTTCAACATGTCAAACGTGCCCGAGAGCTAAAAGTGCTGGAAAACTTTGAGCAGAGACTTTTCCACCGGACTTGTTTGAGCTCAAAAGTCTGCGAAATATTTATCATATGGTTAATTTTTTAGTCAGCAAAGAGAGACGGAAGTCTTGATTCACTTTTGAAAAAAAAAACACACATTCCACCTTTGAATATTTTACAATGCTGAAAACTCTCCCTTAATTCTTGTGACCTTTGAAATTTGTTTTGTAGACGGGAGGGTGGAAAGGCCTGAAGGCATGCTAACGTGGCTGTTTCAAATATAATTCTATTTTTGGAGGACGTTTCTCTTCTCTCGCAGCTGGTGGCTCGAAATTGCCACGTCCGAATCAGATTTGTTGACATTCGGTGGCAAATGTTGCGAGCTGAAAGGATGAATGGGCCGGATAATGAAGATTCTAACCCTTTTTGTTTATTTGTAAACTGGCATTGGACGCAATCGAGGTCCAGCTGAAAAGGCGTCTGAGAAGCAAGATTTTCACAGCGTGATGTTGGGGACGAGGGACGAATATTAGAAATTATATTATTTGTCGATGGTAATTTCCGGTAATTTCGTTTGATTGAGAGTTTGAGACAGAATTAACGGCGTATGATAAACGTAAAATGAGAGATGAAGGTCATAATTGTATGTTTAATTAATACTTTAAAAGTTAATATTACAATCTTCCAATTAGGCTTAATTATACACTCCTTAGCACTCCTTTTTTTACATTAATGATGATTAAAATTTTCAATAATCGCTAAAATTGATTTCGACAGGTTGTGAAAATTTGAATAATTGACAATATCTAATAATCATAATGCCAATAAGGAATAAGTATTCAGTTAGTTTTCTACATGAGCTGAAATTGATTTTATGGAAATGGCATGCATTTTTAATAAATTCATTCAAAATTTTAAAAGTTTGCTTTTGATAATCAAAATATTTTAATTGCTAAATTTTATCTATATTAGTTGATTTTTACATCGAATCAACAAAAGTTGATTGACAAATTAAATAATCTGAGCGAAAACGGTAAAGACACTTGAAATTATCAAATTATTTTTACCAGACGCTGAAATATACAAAGTAATCTTTGAGATTAAAACGATTTATTTCTATCATATTCATCTTTAACTCCAATTTTTCGTTAAAAAGTTGCAAAGTTAGTTGATTTATATTTTAATTTCTTTACTGTTCAAATAATTTTGCATTAATTATCAATCTTCTCAGTCAAAAAAAAAAAAAAAAAAAATAGGTTTATGCAAGAATATATATACATATATTGAACCGTGATGCATGCTTAAGAACCCTCACAAAAAGTAATTTATTTCTTATTTTTAAGCAGTATATTTCCAAGATCGACGTAAAAGAAGAGTTTTGGCAGCAAATTTCCTATTTCAGTCTGCCTAGCGATCCAGGGGCGAGCGGACGTGTTTTCGTATTGCTCCGTCCGTCCGCTCGACTAGCCCTGTTCCTAGGAGAAGACTGTGTTACAGAGTCGCCAATTTGTACACGTGAGTTTTTTTCTGATGTCCTCTCAGTGTAACGTGTGCAAAGTGGTTATCGTCAAAGACTCAATTAAGTGCAAAGTTTGCCTCGTGGCCGTCGCTCACCCGAGTTGTGCCAAAAAACGCCGCGGACCGAATCTCCAGTGGACCTGCAGCGTCTGCAAATCGGACGCCAGCTCGCAGGAGGGCTCCGACGTCGGCGACGACGAGATGCCCCTTGCCGACCAGCTTGCGGCCATGGAGGCCACCTTGCTGGCCGCCTTCAACACGCGCTCGAACGCCATCGAGGAGCGCGTGGCCGCCTCCGAGAAGGCGCTGCTGGAGCGGCTGACCGCTGTCGAGGCCTCCGTCCAATTTCTCAGTTCGCAGTACGACACACTGCTTAAAGACGTAAAAGAACAAAAGGCCCTGAACGTCGAACTGAGAAAGGGCCTCGATAGCGTGTACGAGAAACTGCACGAAAAAGAAGCGGCCCTGAACCAACTGCAAGGCCGCGTGCACCAACTTGAGCAGTCATCACTGCAAGACGCGGTGGAAGTGCATGGAATGCCTTTCAAGAAAGAGGATGACCCGCGCGCCAAACTGCAAATTCTGGCCGACCTAATCGGAGCACCGCCGGTGTGCGACACCGTGTCGGACGCTTACTGGATTCCCGAGATCCCCCCTCGGGCGTCTGGTGGTCGAGGTCGCGCGGGCTATTGTGTCGTCAAGTTCAAGGCCGAAAGCGCCAGGAAGGCCTGGCTGGGTGGGAAGAAGAATCTGCTGAGGATGACTTGGCCCGAGGGCAGCAGCCAGCCGACCGCTGGTCCCCCTCGCGCCCCTCCGCCGAGCACTGCTGCTGAAGCTGCCGCCTCCAACCCGCCCGCTCAGCGCCGCCGACGTGATGACCCTCCGAACATTCGTGTGTATGAACAGCTGACCCCCTACCACCGCCGACTCCTCTTCCTCACGCGTAACGCTGCCGCTGAAAAAGGGTTTAAGTTTGTTTGGGTTAAGGACGGGAAAATCTTTGCCCGTCATAGTGAACGTCTTGGTGCCCTTGTCCGAATCCGATGCGAGGACGACATTCGCACCAAGATGGACTTCAATGTTGCGACCGCGCACATTTAGCTTTAAGTTAAACACAACACACAAGTACAGATTTTATTTTTTTGTTAAATGGCTGTTTGCTTAAAGAGCAATTCCATAAATGATTTTTGGTTTGACGCAAAAAATTTTCATTTAAACTCAAATTCTTTTGTTAAATACTCAATTTTCCATTTAAATATAAGATCAATATTCAAAAACTTTAATTCATTCTGTGCCTCATTTCAAAGTGAAATATACAAAATTGACATTTTAATTTTCTCCGAAATAAACTGCAAAGAAAATGACATAAACAAATTCACTTTAAAAGGTTTCAAATCAATTGCAAAAACAAGAGAAATAGGTCGTGGAGGTGGAATTTTAATTTTTGTAAAAGACTCGTTCATAATTGAAGAGCTGGATTTCGATTTTAGCTGCTCAGAAAGTTTGACAATAAAAATAAACAAAGAAATTGTTGTGGCAGCTCTTTATCGACCACCGTCACAAAATAAAGTCCAATTCCTGAACGAATTTAACATTTTTCTAGAGAAAACAAACACTTTTAAAAATTTCGTCGTCTGCGGAGATATAAACATAAATTTGCTCGACACTACAGACACAATAGTTGACCGCCTTCACAATATTGCCGCAGAATTTGGTTTTACTCAGTGCATTTCGTTTCCCACTAGAGAAGCCGTCTCTGGATCAAACTTTTCGTCTACTTTAATTGACCATATTTTTGCGCGCCTTAACAATTTTGAAAATATTTCCGCGGTAATTGAATGCGACGCCTCCGATCACAATGCGATTTCAACCTTAGTTTATGACCATTCCGGAGGCCCTAAAGTTGAAAAGTATAATTATACTGATTTCAAAGTTGTCAATCAAGATTTATCAACTTTTGATTGGAATCGCTGCGTGGTTGAAAATAATCCGAATGAGACTCTGAAAAATTGCTCCACTATTATACAAAATTTAAAAGATGTAAATACTGTTCAAAAAACGATAATACACAATACTAAAAAAAGAATTGATAAACTATGGATAACACCACACCATAAAGAAATAATTAAAGAGAGAACGCGATTATATAAAAAAATGAAAAGCAATCCGACAAACAAAAAACATGCTGACGAGTATAAAAAATTTAGGAATAAAGTAAATAACAAATTGCGAAATGCAGAAATTAATTTCAATCTTAAAGTTTTTAATACTTGTCAAGGCAACATTAGACTTACGTGGCAAAACTTGAATAGATTGCTTGGCCGAGCAACCTCTTCCATTGACACTACAATAACACGCTTCATGTCGAAAAAATTCTCTCTGCCGGAAATATTAGAAGGCTTTGGTAAACAATTTGCGGATGCGCCGCTAATGAGTACACATATTTGTGATTTTGAAGCGGTCAGGTCTGCGGAGCAGCGCCCGATGGCGATGCAAAGCATGCGCCTGCCGCGCGCCACACACACACAAGTCGCGGCAATTATTCAGAGTCTCAATAAAAACAAAGGCCCGGGAGTGGACGGCGTTTCTGTGCGTGATGTGCAGAGTGCTGGCTGCTCTCTCGCCAACATTATTTCCTCCGTTATAAACAAATGCATTGAAACCTCACAATATCCCAAATGTTTAAAAAGTGCAATTATTCGACCGATTTATAAAAACTCTGATCACAAAAAATTTGAAAATTATCGCCCCATCTCAATTTTGCCGGTTTTTGATAAAATCTTTGAGCGCTTCATTGAAATTAATTTGACTAAATATTTGAAAGAATTTAAAATGATTGATGAGCGACAATTTGCTTTTCAAAAAGGGAAATGTGTTAACGAGCTGTTTGGTAATTTTGCTAATTTTATAAATAAAAACTTGGGCGAAAATAAACACGTGACGGCAATCTTCATTGACCTTAAAAAGGCCTTTGACGTACTTTTGTATAAAAAATTAGCAGAAAAATTAAAGTATTTTGGTATAAATGGCCCTTTTCTGCAGCTCTTAATAAATTTCCTTTCTGAGCGCATATTTTATGTCCGTGTAAATAACGAAAACAGTGAGGAATTTGAAGTAAATTCGGGAGTTCCTCAAGGCTCAATTTTGGGTCCAATTCTGTTCCTTCTGTTTATAAATGATCTCGTGCCAATGTTAAAAAAATGCATAATATTTGTATTTGCTGATGATATAGTAATTTTATTTGCACATGAAAATTTTGCTATTTGTCATGATGTGATTCAGTCCGAGTTTAATATAATTACTGAATGGTGTCATGATAATGGTCTAATGATCAATGAAAAAAAGACTGTTAGTTTGCACTTTTGCCATCCAAACATTAGACTGAACAATAAGTTAAAAATTATTTGCCATGAATATACATGTTTACACAATTTCTCAATTGGCTGTAAATGCGGAACACTGTCGCAAGTTGAAAAAACAAAATATCTTGGTCTACACTTGGACCAAGATTTTTCGTGGAAATATCATTTACAGCACATTTCCGGCAAATTGAGAAATGTTATAAGAGAATTCAATTTTATAAAAGCGCACCTCAATCACAACACACGCAAAATAATGTATTTCTCTCTTGCCCACTCTTATTTGAACTACGGAATCCCTGCTTGGGGATCCGCAAATTTAACTGCTGTGCGTAACTTGCAAGAAAAAGTGTTATATAAAATGTGTACTCGTAAACAAAAAAATTCAGTCGATAATTTGTTCAAGTTTTGGAACATAATGCCTGTCAATAAAATTTATGATCTGAATGTACATTGCTTGAAATACTTTGACGAAAATCGTGGCGTGCCACGAATGCATCAATATGAAACAAGAATGTCCCAATTGGATCCTCTTGTTATGCCGCCCAGTGTAAACAAATATTTTGATCGCACGTTTGAATTTTCTTTTCCCAGACTGTGGAATGCTTTACCACCAAATCTAAAAAATCTTGATTCAAAAAATTCTGTTAAATTTCATATTAAAAAATGGTTTTTGTCACTTCTATAATATTTAGTTGACATTTTTATCTTGTAAAAATTCGCATGTAAAACAATGTGTATAGAACTGGATTGCCTGGCTTTTAAGTCTTGCTTTCCAGTCAAATAAGCACCGGCCGATAACTCCGTTTGGAGTTGGCTGGACTTGTAACTTCACTCAAATAAATATACTTCATTTAAAAAAAAAAAATTTGAATTTGTATGATACAGTTTTGTGTAGAAAACTCTGGATACAAAGTTTGCGTTCAAGTTTGTTCAAGTTTAATGACAAAATATTGATATAAAACTTTCTTGATAATACCAAAGTTAATTTCATATCTTATTAAACAATATTTCATTTGGCTTAATTGTTTAATAACCTTTTATAGGATTATGAGATGGTATGAGGGCTAATACAATTTATATTATATTAATCTGATAATTGATTTTAACTATCGTTACACCTTTTATAAATATCTGCAGGAACAAAAATTTTATTTTGTAGATAAACACAACTTCAGAATTAAAAACAAAACTTGTATAAATTATTTCAAAGGATGACTTGTAGCCCCACTTACTAATCTTAAAAATTTAGGATGATGTTTCAAAAATTCAGCAAAAGAATTGAAGCGAATATTATTTTTAATTAATAATAAAAAAAGCGCTTTTTGTGTTTGGTTGAGCGACGATTCGGCTATAGATTGGCATACCTTGATTGAACTGGAGCGGCGGTAATCCAGTGATAGGGAAGCGGCGGTGTTTGCTCGGCGCGGCTCCGGCTATCGACTGCCAGCCGGGGACCAACAAGTGTGCCGCCGCCGCCGCCGCCGCCGAGCCGAGAGCAAAAGCTGCCCCCAACACAGCATGCGCCCTGTCGGTGCTCGCGCTGGCTCCTGCAGCGCCCAGATGCACGCCACCCCCGCCCGCTCTCGCTCGCTCGCTTGGGCCGCCCCCACCGAAAAGCACCGCGAAAGGACACATCGGCGGCGGCGGCGGAACCGACCGATTTTTCACCCTCAGCACCCTCGATCTGGAGAGAGAGATATCGTTGCGACGCTATAGCTGTTTGCCTACATCTGTGTTAAGAAACTCGAGTGTGTGTTGTGTTAGGGGTTGCTAAGCGGAGGAAAAGTTTTGTTTATTTTGCGTCTTCTTTTCCCGTTAAGAGTTGCGTCTCACGTAGAGAGCAAATTCAATATCATTGCAAAAACGATTGCAAATAGAAATGAGAAACTTTTTTCATCTTTTAACTTTGACGTTGTAATGCAATTTATGTGCATATAAAATAAACATTAGGAATAAAATAAATAACAAACTGTGGCTTCGGAAACTGGTTAAAAACTTGTTTTCATATTTTCATTCAAACGGAACAAATTCATAAGCGTAAAATTCATTCTTTTTTCTGGAAATCCTGCAGAAACAATCCTCATTAAGCGGAAAAAATTGATATTTTGGTTAATTTAAATTGAAATCTATTGAAAGGAAATGGCCGAAAGGGATACAGTTATTGTTGTTTATTTTTACGCATTGTTCCAATCATATTCAGTACATTCAATTATTGAAAAAAGATATTAATGTATTTTTCGTATTTTTAGTTCAAGATCTTCACACCTCTTTAACACGACACATTTCCCTTTAAAACTGAATTAATATAACCGAAAGTTTACCCAGATGTGCATCTTTCCGAGTTCGATCCTCTTCGATCTGCGCTAAGCAAATATTTAAATTACAATCCTCTCCTTTTTTGAGGGTAAATGTTTAAGTATTTTTCTCATGCTGAATGAAATTCATCAGGATAAACAAACAAATCAGCCGAATAAATATTTGTTTGATCGAGCAGAAGCACAAAAACCGACGGCTGCAGGCTCTTTTTCTTTCCCGCTGACCGGTCATTCATCTGGAGGCAAATGACGCAGACAGCCAATTGCGAGGCCCGGAACTAAACAAAGCAGCAAATCTCCCGGATAAATAAGCGTGCGGCCCATAAATTAAGTTATATGAAAGAGAGCGTCTTCTCTGAATTTAGTTGTTGCTGTTTCTCGCGCTTGAAACGTGCAGCAGCTGCCTCTGTGACAAATTGCTACGATCTTTCAGCAGCCTCCGAAAAAAGGGCAGAGAGGGGAAAAAGCAAAACCCTATTATCAAGAAAACGCGCTTTTTCCATTCTCCGGCCGCTTTCCCTAATGTCAGCCCATGTTATTGCTGGGCTATCCCTAAAAACGATTTCCTCTCGGCTAAAAGCACACTCCAGACGGCTGATCTAAAAGGCTGCAAAGCACCACTTTCCTCACAAAAGGTGTGTGCGATGGAGCTTTGTTTTCTACCTTTTTGCAAATGCTTTTAATTTCTATTTTCAAAAATATGTCACTTATCTGTTCACCTTGATAATATTTGACAGAATTAAAAAAATAATGAAACTATAGCGGCTCAAAAAAGGAGAATATTTTACTGATTACTATTTATTTCATGTGTTGTGTAATTTCAAATAATTTGAAGGGGAAAAAATGAAAATTCTACCTTAAAACTAACATGCGAAATTCTTACCTGGAATGTAATTTTTATTTTGTTTTGGTCGTTTGTGCATTTAAAAAAAACCTATTATTTTTATCATTTCCTTTCCTCGCTGGAGACAAAAAAAAAATTGCTTGTCTCTGAAAGCCTTGACAATTTCATAAAATAGCCAAAATTTAGAATAAATTATCCAAAATTATATTTCGCATTTTGATGACTTTATATTTCTAAAAACGGGTGATATTTTTTTGCCATAATAACAAAATTTGTGATAAATAAACAATCAACTGATATTCAGATTTTAATTAAATTGAAAAAAAAAATTATTTCTCTTTTAATGTCAAGTTTTGTTTTAATAGCTGCTCTATTTTCTGTTTTATTTTATTATTATCATAAATTATATTCAAAGGGAAAAAAAAGACAAATTGCCACTTGTACAGAAGGAAACAAGCAAAAATTAATTCCAACATATCAATTAATTAATTGTTCCTCCCGTTTGTTTGACTAATTAGACGTTGACGTGGCGAATCGTTTGACAAGTGACGAAAAAGAAAGGGCGCGTTTTTAGTGAGTCGTCTCTTTTTGAGCGACTGATTGTGAGTGTCATGCGTGCGTCGTCGTAATTGTGGAAAAAAAAATACGTACACTTCTCTCTGGTCGTGCGGCCAGAGCAGCCGCTCTTTTTAATCACACTGAAACTCGTCAACGTCAAAGTGCGTATGCAGCCGCGGAGAGGAACTCATTCAAAGAGAGAATATAGGGCGCGCAGAGAGAAAGACTCGTGCGAGCCTTTCCTTTCATCTCGCTCACTCCGGGTCAAATTTTGTTCTCGCGTGAAATTGCGACGCTGTGTCGCCTGTACTTGCTACTTAAATCAATTTAAAAGTACCAGCACCGAAATTAATTCGTGGAGTTTCTTTTTCTTCTACACAGGAATAAAATTCTTTCATGTTTTAATCAAATTATGAATAAATTTATTTTATTTGAGATGAAAACGTAAAAAAACATCTTCTTATCAACGAATTCAAGACTTTGTAAAAGTTGAAAAGGTGGAATTTCATTTCTCTCTAATTGCTTTTCCTATCCAAGCTATATGTTCACTTTCCCACCGTTGGTGTTCCACAACTTCTCTCTGCTTTTGCTCTTTGGTGCGGAAAAAAGTCAGGTTGTTTTAGGACCCGAGTTTCAGCCTCGGACGTGGAAAGACAATGTTATATTAAGTTGTGTAAGTAGTGCGCTTGATAGAACACTCGATCCTTTTATTTTCCTGGTGTGCTGCTAATGCACCGAGGAAACTTACAGGTGCTTGATGAGAGAGCCAGTAACATTGAGAATGGTGATGTATTCCTATCTGGATGAAAAACATTACAAAATTGAAGCCGCAATTTTAATTTATCTGAAACATCACTCTTGCAGTAAAATATTTATTATCATTCAAAAATTTCAAAGCAATGTTTATATTTTAAATTTTTTTCAATTCCTCCCAGGGAAATTTTTTAGGCTTGTTATTTGAAACTAGTGCTTTTTTTCATCAAATTTATGGCTTTGGTTATTGGCAAAGTAAAAAACCCAACGCCGTAAAAAGAGCAAGTGATGGCAGTGCAGAGCCGGCTCAACGCGTTCCGCACAAATAAACGCACTGCTTTATTAGATTTCCTCCCCCGCTGACATTATATATCGAAGGGATGAAAGGAAAGAAAGAAAAATGTGTGTTCGAAGATGCTATGTTTTGCAATGCTTTTTCCACCTGTCTGCTCATTCTCGGAAAGCGAGATTTTGTTGTCAAAATCAACATGCACACGGCGGACACATTAATGCGCAAACTTTATCTAACCAAACACGCGCGTACAGAGAGACGAAATGAGGAAATGTTGGCAGGAAAATATATCAGGTGTGCGAGAGGCGAATTTTAATTTGGAAAAGGCCGACGAGCGAGTGGCGAATAAATTAAGAGCATTAAGCCGGAGTGCGTGCTGAGAGCAGCAAAATCTCACTCTCGAATTGCTTTGCATAAAAAAAATCGTGTTTTCATGTTAAAAAGAAGGGCGAAGCCCCGGGAAAAACTAAAAAATGAACATGAAAGATGATGTCATTTCGCCTCCAAGATGTTATTTAATCTTCTTTGATGTGTATAACATTTTTTCCAGGCAGCGTAAAAAAGGAAATTTTTCTGAATAAAAATTTATCAAACTTTTACAGTTAATAAATAAAGTGAACTTATATAAAATACAGTGTTTTTTTTAATAATATAAAAAAATAATAATTAATCAAATCTACAAAAATTAGTTTAGATGACATCTTAAAAAAAGCATCACATTATACTTCTATTAATTGTTAAAATTACAAGATATTTTATCTTTTGTATTAGATTTTCGGTTTCTAAATTCATGCATTAAACCTATAGAGGAAGCTACAATAATGCTTTCGCTAAAAGCACGTACGTCCATTAGCACAATCCCACTACAATGGTACGCAAAATTTGCATTTCGCACGTCCACTAATTAGCTGAAAAAGCAGGGTTGTATGAGAATTTGCATGGTCTCTGAGAGAGACGAAATCAGTTGGGATCAACGCCAAAGATGGTGGAGAGGATCGCGACGACTTTGGCGTCGTGCTCGTTCAAAAAGTGCGGCTCTCGAAACTCGGCCCTCCGCGTCAGTTGCTGCGCCATTTGGGTCTTGGAGATTCCCAGCTCGGTGTGCAGCAGGGAGACCCAGTTGAGCTGCCAGGCTCCAGTCAAAAGCTAAAAAGAGAGAGATCAAAACCACCCTTTTACACACATGGGCTCTGTCATTTGCGTGCAGTATCTGGAAATCGTCAGCCAAAGGCTCATTTCCTTTGGCGACATTGATTTTCCTGTCAAACCGTCTGCACGATTGCCATTTTTTCTAAAAGAAAATGTTTTCTCTCTTTTTCAAACCATTTCAAACGACCCAGCAATTTTTTATATCATTTAAAGAAATATCAATTTATTATTTCCCGTTTCTTTAGTTAAGAATTAATTCATTTCATATGATGCTTTGATTTTTTTTACAGTTACATATTTTAATTTATTAAAAAAGAATTACCTCATCAAATGCTCTGGACCCTCCAATGTGGAACATGGCGTGCAGCAGAGGATGCGGTGCCGGTTTTGCAGCAGGTACGTGCACAGGTGGAGCTGCCGTGCGCGACTCTTGAGCTCCAAGTTCGCCCATCAGCCAGGCCAAGTTGTGCTGGATGAACTTGAAAACGATCTGTGGAATTTTATGTGGTTATGCAACCGGCTCGACACGTGTGACGGTCAGGTTGCTTAAGTCAAATTTTGCAGGCAACAAAATTATTTTTAATTAATATTAACTTATATTTTTTTAGAAAATTGGCAGATTCATTTGAAAAAATTTCTGCTTGCCTTGACTGAAGTTCTTCCTGACGAGGTGAGCAGAAGTCTGCTGACGAGCACCTCGGCAATCTGGGGCAGTTCTTCGATGACTTCGGAACCCGAATCTTGCTCGGCCAAATCTTCCTCGAGCTCGGCGGCCCTTTCTTGGGCTGCGACGACCACGGCAGCAACTTCCTCCCTGAAGAGGTCCGTGTCCAGACCGCACCACTCCTCGGCGAGACGCAAGGGCGCGTCCGCACCGCTTTTGACCAACTCGGCGTAAACCGCGGCTCCGATGAGCTGCATCAGGGTTTGTCCGCCGAAGGGACTGACGTCTGCAGGCAGAATGTCGTCGAGGAGTTTGGCCATGAGGACCACGCCGACGGAAATCGTGTCTCCAATTTGTTGTAAACCTGCGAAAATAATTATTGAAATTTATTTTAATATTGTTTATATAAGTTTTAATTATCAAATATAATTTTTATACGTAAATTTTAATATTTTTTATATGCATATATTGATAAAGGGCACAGGCCGAAAAGACTTTGTCTTCGCCTGACCCTAAAAAATTAAAATATAAAAAAAAAATTTGTGAACTTCGAGGAAAAACTTTTAATTATACACTAATTGTAAAAGTTGTACAAAAATTATAGCGATGAGGAAGATTATGTCTTTCTTTCAACCTTTTAAGCCACTTGAATGAAAATCTTGACAAAAAAAAATTGGCAAAATCAAACAATATCCTTATAAAAGAAAACTAATTCCACCTTGGAAAATATTGTCAACGGATGTTGCCCAAGAGGCCATCGATGGGCCCAGACAGTCCTTTATAAGGTTCACCAGAGCAGACAGCCACGCTGGTCTCCTTTGTTCCGCCCACATCTGCCTTTTGTCGAGGCAACTCCAGTCCATGCCGTCCTAAGAAAATCATTTTCAGTTTTAATACGTGAAATTTGATAATACAACCTGTTGCAATAGGGCTGAAAAAGCCACGTGCAGCGCCCGCATCCCTCCACCCTCGGGGTCTCCGCAAATAACCACTATTATCTGCACAAGGGCGGAGAGCACTTGGCTCGGCGTAAGTTGCGAGCCCTCGACCCAGCAGCCCGCCGTGGCCCCGCACAAAAACCCGCCGCAACCCTCCACACTCGAATGGACGGCGTCTTGGTACTGAATGTCGGCTTTCAAAAGATGCCGGAGCAAAATTGTCGTCGCTACGTAATTCCTCATCAGCAGTACCTGAAATATTTATTTATATATAAAATAAAAAAGTTATTGGAATTGAAGCGAAATATGATTTAATGTAATTTTTCAGATAAAAATAATTGGTGTATTATATAAAAATATATATTTTTTTTATGAATTAAATTAAATTTTGTTTATAAATAAAAAAATTTTTTTATCTTTAAACTACTTGTTTTTAACCTTGACTAGGAGAGGCCAACTAGCCTCGGGTTGGGCACACAAAACCGACAGTTCTACAGCGACGGCCGTGTTGTCGTTCAACGAGTGCATGTCTCCCCTAGGCGGGTCGCCGGGGAAAAGTTTGGGCGCGACGAGGACGAACCAAGTGGCCGGAGAAACCGGTCGCGGCAAGAAAAGCGGCGCAGCATCGGCGCCTCTGCGAAAAACCTACCCAGCAATGAAACCAAGAAATACACAATTAAGGGGATGATGGTTTCGTTGGTTTCTTACCTTGTACAGGGTGGCCAAGGGACAACCGCGGATGAGGAGCGTGCACAGCAGGTCGTGGCATTTGGCGTGCACGTCGCGGGCCGCTTTGTTGCTGCCGGGGCCCACGAGGCCCAACAACTCGCTGCCGCTGGTGCAGATCGACGGCAGCAAGTGGCGCACGCAGATCAAAATGTTGCCGATATCGGTGACAATCAGTGGACTGCGTGCAAGACTAGGCTTGGCCTACAAAATTAAATTGCAAAAATTTAAAAAGCATAGTGTATTAAATGGTTAAATTGGTAAGAGATTGTTGATTTTTGCTAGATTAAAGGGCAAAAATTTAATATTTTACACTTTTCTTTCAAAATAATTGAGATTTCTATTTAAGAATTTCAAAAAATTATAATACTTGAAGGTAAACTTTACCATTTTTTAGCCTATTTATTTCCTTTTTTTAATAATTAAAAATTTAATTCTGCAGATGTGTCTTACTTGGAAATAATTATAATTCTATTTTATTTTAAATATCGTTTTTTTCCAATTAAAGCTGATTTAAAGTTAATTTATTTCATTTTTTTAAGAGTTTGTTTAATATTTTTTGCCAATCACCTGACTATATCTTGCAGTGAGAATTGTGAGCGACTCATTCAACATTCCAGCAAGAACTCTCTGGGCAGTTTTCGGAGGAACGGTGTTCCACAAATCTTCTCTAGCCCCTAATATTTTACCAGCATTTTTATTATATTTATCTTTTATTAAAAGATTATTCCAACCTTGCATGTAAAACCACCACATCTGAATTGTGAAGGAGCCGCGCTGCCCTTCGAAAAATGAGTGCTGGCTTTCCCAGTTGAGCGAGTCTGCGTCCTGCAGGACGTACAGGGCTAGCAGGCGACAGTGCAAGTCCAAAAGACGTTCGGCCAAAGCCTCGACCATTTCTTGCATTAATCTCGACGCTTGATGCAAACTCAGACTTCAAATATAGACATTCAATGTTAAGAAATCCTTAAGCAAGTCTTTACAACAATAGTGGTTAAAATTTCTTATTGTTTTCCAATTATATTTTCCAAAAATGGCTTTTATTGTTGTAAAGTAAATACTAAATTTGACTATCACAATGAAATTTTTCAAAAAATTAAAATAAAATTGCAGAAAAAAATCTTCCAAGTTTTCTACTTTTAACATGATTTAAACAGTACAGTGTGCAATTGTGCTATTTTCAAACAGATTTTATTTAAAGGTGTTATAAAGATTGTGCTCAATTTAACAATTTCAAAAGTTTTGTGCAGAACAAAACTAAACAATTTTGCAGACAATGTTTGTTTGGTTTCACCTTTTAGCATCTTTTTTCAACTGCTCGTTGAAGCACCAAAGAGCATTTTTGCAAAGGGCCGCCGCGCCAAGCGTGGCCGTGAGGACGGCCAAGTCGGCGTGGTCCAGCGACTCTTGGCTCAGGGTGTGCAGATGCTCGAGCAACTTCTCTGCCGACTGCTGCACCATCTCAACGAACTCGGCCGACGGAAGTTTCTTCACGTCCAGCTCCTCTTTGGTGTGAATCCGCGTCTCAATCAGTCCCGAAGGGTGGTGGAAGCAGGAGAAAAATTCCTCTTCCCACCACTTGACAAGTTTGACCGCAGCAAAGGAGGCGTAGCGGGGAAAGTCAAAAGGGCCCCCCACGGCCCCGAGGCACAGATTCTCCTGCAAAACCGTGTGGTGCTCTTCGTAGTAGCCCAAATCCCTCTGCAGCAGAATCTGCACCCGGTCCATCAAATTCCCATCTTCCATCAACTCCATAGTGCACAAAATTTGAAATTATATTTTTACTGCAAATGGAGGTAGATTTAATATTTTATTTGTCACTTCTGAATGAATTTTTTACTCAGTTTTAAAAGTTTTAAATTTTGTAGAAAGTGCAGTTTGAAAGGTCAACCGGTCTTTTTAAAATTTCCGAAGTTTCCTTTTCTAGCAAATCGTGCAAACAAACTCCGTCGTGCTTGTAAATCCACCGGCCATCGATGAAATCGTATCTTTTGGGACCACTGGTTGGGGACGAGAGCCAAATTTGCAGGTTTGGTCTTTGCCTGTTAATTACGTAACTTCCGTACGGAGGTCCGAAGTGAATGCTCAAAACGCCGTCCTGAAGAAAAAAGATCCATAAATTTATTTTAATTTTTCTGTCAAATATTTCTTACACCAAATGTGACGTCAGGGTCTTTTAAGTGAGGACAGTCCTCGACAGCTTGCTCAAAGAATTCAGTCAAAGATTCGAGGGTTTCGCTGCAAATGTGGTCGTATGTCTGCAAATCAAGAGGCCTGAAGGGAAAAATTAATTTTTTATATAAATTTTGATATGAATTTGATAAAAAATACTTTGTTCTGTCGTAGTTGCTGTGGATCAGTCTTCTGATGAAAATCTGCTGGGAATAAGTCAAAATGGGCCTTTTCAAAGGACTCGGATCAATCGAAGCTGATAGAGAGAAACTCTTCGTCTTTTCCAGATGGCGAATCTTCAGTGAGGATCTGGCACAACTCGAAATGCACCGCAAAAGCATGTCTGCAACGGAAAATACTTTTTAATTATTGTTTTCTAACTAATAGAAAAATTAAAATTAAAAACGTCAATTTTTTCAATTTCAGGTTGACGATTTTTAATTAACAATCCCTGAGAAATTTTCCAATAAAACACACAGCTCTTGAACAAGAGATGTTTCACTGGAAAAAACAACAAATTGTACGAACCTGACAACGGAGGAATTCGGCCAGAAAATCAATTTCAGTGCAAACCAGAGACGTCGCCGGCTGCCGATCCCAAGAATTTTGTTTTTCCTGCCATATGATACCCAGAGACATCTTTAATATTGAACTCAGAGCCTACTTAAATAAAATAATCACCACAATTAACAGGTATTGGGACATTTAAAATCTTTTTTAAGCAGAGAATTTTACGAAGTTTGTTTATCTATTTTATATTTTGCACAGTCATGAATATTTGCTTATAAATCAAGGTTTTCAAGAATCATTTACGTAAGGCCCATCATTTTAGGTGGCTCTGGCAATTCAGCCAATCAGCGCACCGGAAACGTTACAACGCGTTCGCGCACCAATCAGAACACCGCTTGGAACACCTCGTCGTCGTTCTTGTGTTTATATAAATTTACGGGCGGATAATAGCCGAATTTTCTCTGATTTTCCATCGTTCCTGCCGTTCCAAACGGCAAATTAAAGTAAATAATTGTTTTTCAATCAATTTTCTATGTGGGCACTGATTAATATTACTTTTTTGAAGGGAATTTTACTGCCAAAATATGTGAACAAAAATCCTTCTGCGCCCTTTCCAAATTGATTTTTTCCATTTTTTTGTCCTTTAATACAGTCTTTAACCATTATACTTATTTCTACTTGCTTTTAATTCATGCAGGTATGAGTAAAAGACGCAGGGCGTCTTCAGCAGCGAGCAGTCGTGAGCCCGAGGACGAAATAATGAGCGACCCCGAGCCGGTCGTCGAGCAACCGGTGCGGAAGAAACGCCGCGTCGACCCGGTAATTTCACTCATTTTCATGCCAAGGAAAACTCAAATTGGAAATTTCCAGGTTGAAATTTGCCAGCAATTGTACGACACCATCCGCAATTTCAAAAAGGAAGACGGAGGTCTTTTGTGTGACGCTTTCATTCGAGCCCCAAAGCGCAGACAAGAACCTGCCTATTACGAGGTAAAAATTTAAAAAATATTTACAAAATTGTATTAATTGTCGATGGAATTATTTAAAATTTAGGTTGTAACCAACCCCATTGACCTGCTGAGGGTTCAGCAAAAACTAAAGACGGACGAGTATGAAGATGTTGAGCAGCTGACGTTGGACATCGATCTAATGGTTGGCAATGCCAAGGCATTTTACAAGGTAAAGAAGACACAATCCCTGATTGACCGATGTAATATTCACCATCGCAACAATTGGAACAAATTTTGATTGTTGCTCAAACAACAATCAAAGTTGTGCTGCGCGAACCTTGTTGGGCCTGTCACTGTAGATAAGCCGATTTTTTCAACACATTCTTTGGTGCACCGGCCAGCCCAGTGGGTAATGAGCTTGCACGGTGGGACTCTCAGGCTGTAAGGTACCTACAGACCTGCGGGGCCACCAAGACGGGTTCAAATCCCCACTGGGCTGGTCTTTTTCACATCTTTTCTTAGCTTCAATTGCATTCCAAATCACGTTTACTTGTTAAAAAACTTGCGTATCATAAAAAAAAATAAATAAAAAAAATTTAATGGAATAAAATTACAAAATAAAATCAAATTTTTCGGACACGCTTTTTGAGTTCACGATCTTCAAGGGCTCATTATTGTTTGCATAATTTAACTATTATCATTGCACGGTATGACTCGAGGGTTGTAATTTTTTTAATATTATTTCAATTCAACAGAAATCGAGTCAGGAGTATAAGGACGCGTGCGATTTGTGGGATCTTTTCGAAATGACCAGAAATCGACTGACTGACCCAGACTCTCACTCAGGAGACGGAGATGCAGGACCTTCAGATCAAAAGGGCAAAATCATTCTCAAGGTTGGCAAACTGGTATGTTCTAACGGGTGGTTTGGCTGTGCCTTTTCTAATATGCATTGTAGTGTTTCGCCTTATTTTTCCGCTGTTAAAATAGAATTTTGTTGTTACATCTAGATAGTTTATAATTTTATTCTTCTTTAAATCTAATTATGAGCATAATTATTCAGGCAAGAAGGGCAGCGGCTGCGGAGGCAAGGCGTGATGACGCGGATGAAGGTGCCTCGGAATGCAGCTCGACAGCTCAGGAGGACGACAACAACACTTACGAGGATTTGTTCAGTGCCGTCATGATGGCTCAGGACTCTGAAGGGCGAACTCTGCACACTGCTTTTCAACTGTTGCCCTCACGAAAGGTTTCTATTTCTTATTCAGAATAAATGAGAATATTCTAAAATTGATTTACAGGCTTATCCAGAATACTACGAAGTTATTGACAACCCCATCGACCTGAAAATCATCGCAACCAAAATTCAGAGCAACCAGTACACAGCTCTCGCTGACCTTGAGAGGGACCTTCAACTCATGGTGAAGAACGCAATGTCGTTCAATGAGCCAGGCTCCCTAATTTACAAAGACGCCAAAGCTCTGAAGAGAATCATTTCAATGAAGAAGATTGAAATCGAGTCAGGAAGAAGCTCGTCTTCCAAGAGCAGTGAGAGGATTCGCAGCAAGCGCTTGCGAGGGAACCAGTCTCTGTCTGCAATTACCTCTGCCCTGAAGTACGAGGATGAGGAGGAGGACGAAGAAGAAGAGGCCATGGATGAAGACGATTCTGATCAGGATGATGACGACGATGAAGTTAATGAAGACGACGAAGAGTCCGGGCCTCTTTTGAATTTGTACGAAGCAGTCAAGAGTTTCACAAACAGCCAAGGCTATCGTCTGAGTGATCCCTTCAGGAAACTGCCATCGAAGAGATATTACGCTGATTACTACAAAGAAATCAAGAACCCAATTGCACTGTCCCAAATCAGAGCAAAAATTAAGGTATGAATTAAAATTGATTTTAATTATATTTATTTACGTATTTCAATTCTAGAACGGACACTACGGAACTGTAAGTGAGATTGCTGGTGACCTGAACATCATGTTTGAAAACGCCAAAAAGTACAACCGCAATGACTCCAAAATTTATAAGGTGCTCTAGAATTTTACAATTTCTGAAACAATAAATCAAATTTGTTAATTCTTCCTAGGATGCTGTAAAACTGCAGAAAGTAATGCAAAGTAAGGTTCAGGAACTTTTAGAGTATGATCAGGAAAGTGACAGCGATGAAGATGACGAGGGTGAAAGTGAATCGACCCCGGCATTCCCTCAAACCCCGGTGGTGCGGCGTGGGAGACCCCCTGGCTCTCTGAATAAGCCTAAAGGAAAGCCAGAGGATCTTTTGAGGAGGAAGAAGTTTGTTCAGATATACAGGACACTTATAGACTACCACGATGACGGACGCCAGCCCATTCTAATGTTCATGGAAAAGCCAAGCAAGAAACTGTACCCTGATTACTATCAAGTCATTGAACACCCTATTGACATGCTCACGATCGAGTCCAACATCAAGGCAGACAAATATCAGAATGAGGATCAACTGGTTTCTGATTTCAAAGTACAGAGCGTCATAAAATTTTTACTAGGATTTTAATTTTAATTATTTTCAGCTCATGTTTACTAACTGCCGTCAGTATAATGAGGAGGGCTCGGTGATTTACGAAGATGCCAACAAACTTGAAAGATTGCTGAACCATGCTTTGAGCACCCCAACTCGTCTTGGAACAAGAACTGGCAGGTTGGTGTTTTGATTTAATTTAAAATTACCTTTTAACTTCAATATTTTGCTTCCTCACAGCAGTGCCAAGGCTAAACGGCAGCAGCAGAACAACCTTTATCAAAAACTGAGGACTCTTTTCGAAACGATCAAAGATCACAAAGATCCCAAAGGACGTCAGCTCTCTGTAATTTTCAACAAACTTCCTTCAAAGATTGTAAGTTTGAATGATTTTTACCAACTATAAATTAATTCTTAAAATTATAAATAGGAATATCCTGATTACTATGAAGTTATCAAGAGACCCATTGATCTGGAGAAAATCTCGTCAAAGTTGAAATCGACATCCTACATGAGCCTCGATGACATGGTCTCTGATTTTGTTCTGATGTTCGACAATGCTTTCAAATACAATGAGCCTGACTCACAAATTTACAAGGTAAATCTAAAATTATTAATAATTTGCATTAATTAAATTTTGTTCAGGATGCTTTGATGCTGCAAAGGGTAGCCCTGCAAACAAAGCTGCAGCTAAGGGAAGATGAAGAGTCTCTCCCCGATGTGTCTCTTGCAGTGCAAGAACTTTTAACCTCCCTTTTTACGGCCACTTACAATCACCAAGACGAAGAGGGTCGATGCTTTTCTGACTCCATGGCTGAACTTCCAGAGCACGATGATGCTACTGGAAACAAGTAAGATCACTTTGATTAGAGATTATTGTTCAGTTTTGGTAATTCTAGGGTTAGGGCTTTGTCCCTGGACTTGATAAAGCGGCGTCTTGACCGCGGATTTTATCGTCGCCTGGATCATTTCCAAGAGGACATGTTTGCCTGCTTGGATCGAGCTCGCAGACTTTCCAGGTCTGACTCGCAGGTGTTTGAAGATGCCATTGAAATGCAAGTCTTCTTCATAAAGCAAAGGTGAAACATTTAAAAATAATTTGAATTCAAAAGTAAATTTATTTATAAAAAAAAAATCAGAGATGAGCTTTGCCGAGGTGGAGATTTGCTTCACTCCCCAGCTTTAAGATACTCGGCTCAAGATTTGGCTGCCAACCTGGACGTTCTGAGACAAGAAAAGGCTTTGAAGGAATTGCCAGAAGAAGAAACTGAAGCCAAGGTCACAGATGAGGCCTTCAAGCAGCCCCAGCCTGGAGACGTTGAAAGTTCCGGCAACGAAATGAGTTTCAATCAGCAGACCTACAGAGTTGGCGACTTTGTTTATCTCGAACCAAAGGAGAGGGGTCTGGAGCCGCACATTATTCTCATTGAGCGCCTCTGGGTGAACCAAGACAACGAGCAAATGCTGTTTGGAAATTATTTCTACAGACCAAACGAAACTTACCATTTGACTACAAGGAAATTCCTTGAAAAGGTAATCTTTATTTTTGATATTATGGAAAAAATTATGAAATTGTGTACAGGAAGTCTTCAAAAGCGACGTCAGGGTGGCCATTCCGATGAATCAAGTTATCGGAATGTGCATAATCTTGAGTGTGAGAGATTATCTGAGAATGAAGCCGGAAACTTTCCCTGAAAAGGACGTGTATGTTTGCGAGTCTAGATATGCTTCAAAAGCGAGAAGCTTCAAGAAAATAAAGGTTTGATTATAAGTTAGTGTATAGAATTATCACTAATATTCTATTTTCATAGATATGGCCCTGCACTCTGCCAGAGCACATCAAATTAGTGGCTCGCGAAGAGCCGTTGGAGCCGAAGCGAGTCATGTCCGTCTTTAGGGATCGAGTTGAGAAACACAAGGAAGAAATTGCAGAGCTCGATGAAATGGAAAAGCTCCCTGAAAGGGAGATTCCAGTAAAGCTCCCAAAATTGTAATTGAATTAAATAATATTAATTTAAATTTTAGCCTAATGTCGAATTGGTTTTGGAACAACCAATCGAGGGATTCACCTACTTTGAGCAGTGCAGGGTGAGCTGCGGCACCATCAAAACTGGAGATTGCGTTTATGTCAAAAACAGTGTTGGAAAGCAAATTGTTGCCCAGGTTGATGCCATGTGGGCCAATAAATCGTAAGTTATGAATATCTTTCCTCTGAATCGTCGTCTAAACTTAATTTTGTTTGCAGGGGAGAAGAATTTCTCAAAGGTCCCATCTTTGTACCTCCCTCCGAGGTTCCAAACACACCTGGAAAGCTTTTCTACAAGCAGGAATTGTTCCTGAATCACGTTGAAGAGGTGTTTCCTCTGTCCAGTGTCACAGGTCGCTGCGTAGTTTTGGAGCATGGAGAATATATATCTTGTGAGTTTTGCAATTTTTATTTTAGTATCTGAAAATTTCCTTTTGATTTATACAGGCCGTCCTACTGAGGTTGCCGAAGCTGACATTTACGTCTGCGAGTCGGTTTACGAGGAGAGCAAGAAGCTGATAAACAAGCTGGGCCACAATTTCATCAAGAAGTATCACCACATCGGAGACGTCCAGGAAGACGAGATCTACTTCTTCCGCCGACTCATCAATCCAGCAAAGGTTTGTGCTGCTTGATGCAAAACGAACTGTGTGTTTTTTTACATTATTTGACGATGCACTCTGCATTCACATGAGCGATGTGCATCAATCTTTTATTTGGAATTTTTTATTTTACGTTTTAGGTTGGCAGCGACGGTGTGCATAAAGATTCTAAAGGAATGTTTAACACGTTTGACCGGGTGTGTATTTTTTGTTCTCACACATGAGTCTGTTGATTTGCATAGTGCGAATGCGCTTTTTGAGAATGTGATTGGCTGCCTTTCCTACGGACTTAAATTTACGGATTGAAATTATAATTGTTAACCTTCAGGACTCGTCTCCGGTCGCCAGCAGAGATGCGGATGTTTCTCTCATGATGGAGGACTCGATGGACGCTCCACCCTCGGTTGGCTCTGGAGACACCCCCACTCCTTCTCCACTGATGCAAACACCAGTTTCCACAGTCAAAAAGGCAACAATTAAAATTATTATATTAAATGAAATTTAATTTACAAAAAATTGCAGAAGGGAACTGGAAAGAAATTAGTCACTGGGTACATATTGTACTCGAGTGATGTTCGCAAGAACGTGGCCAACCGCTTCCCTGACTCAACCTTTGGTGAAATCAGCCGCATTGTGGGCAACGAGTGGCGCAGCTTGACGGCCTCTGAGAAGCAGAGTTATGAGGAAAGGGCCGCCCGCTTGAACGAAGAGACCACGGCCAGGATGGCCTTGGAGGCGATGGGCCCTGGCGAGACGCCCCACCAAGACCTGATTTACGAGTGCCTCTGGGCCAACTGTGACCACCAGTTCGAGGAGCTGAATGACCTGATCGAGCACTCTGTCGGGGAGCCAGATGGGCACATTCAAAAGCACTTTGTTTCCAAGCCAGGTATTTCTATTCACATATTAAGAAATTATTAATTTCAAATATCTTTTATTATTTAATATGTCTTTATTTCTATAATTTTTATTTATTCTTTGATATACTTGCAAGTAAAACATTTAAATTAAATAAATTCTTAAATATAATTTGCATATTTAATCTCTATGATGTTAAACTAAATTAAAAAAATTTCAGACTCGGAATTCCAGTGCAAGTGGAAGGGTTGCATCAGGCAGAAAAAGACAGTCCCGCCATTCCCGAGCATCATGCGCCTGGCCCGGCACTGCAAGGAGCAGCACATTATGAAGGCCACAGGAAGAGTTGTGCCTCCCTCGGAAAGATCCAGGTATGGATTCTTGTTTTGCGATAGATTTCCCCCAAAAATTCTCAAAATTCACTTTTTTCTGCAAAATTTTCTATGGCCCTGCAGGAATTTCGTTTACGGCTCCTCAAGAATTTTTGCCCAACACCAACCAATCTTTGATGATGAAAGTAAAAATGAGTGGCCATTATAAATTGATAATAATTTTTAACCTGATTTGAATTTGCACGAGTTTTTGTTGTTTTACTTAATTTCCTAACAATTTCTAACTTGTGTGACCAGGAATTTCATGCCGTCTGCTAAAAAAGCAGCCGCTAACGCTAAGGCTGCTTTGGCTCAGAACGCCTCCCCTGCTGTCCCTGCTGGACTCCAGATGGCTTGTGAGTGTTTTTCGTGTTCAACATTTTTAACAAACGTCCAATTTTTAAAAAATTTTGGACTAAAATTTGAATTATTCAGCTGCAGGTTCTCCAACTCCGAACATGGCGCCGGCCATCACTGCCCCAGTTCGACAGCTCGAGCCCATGTTTGTGGCGATCCCACCAAGACCTCAGCGGCTCCTCCATTCTGAGGCTTACATCAAGTGAGTTGAATGCGTTTATCAATCAATTTTAAAATCAATGTGGCTCAAAATTTAAAAAATGCAGTGAAAACTATGGCAAAGAGAAATGAAGGCCTTGCTTGACCTTTCTGACTCATTTTTAAACCGTTTAAAAGACTAAATTTGACTTCTAAGTACAGCAATCAAACAATGCTCTAATTTGACTACACAATAAGATTCTTCTGAATGCAAAACTTTTTCCTCATAGGTACATTGAAGGCATGAATACTGAGAGCAGGCACATCTCAAACTGGGAGAGGAGCCTGAAGGTCACTCCAGAAACTGCAAACGTGCCAGACCCATCTCGACTGCCGGTGCATTGGCTCAACAACGGGGTCGGCAACCACGGCAATATGGTCAACGCTCTGTGGGCCCTGAGGGACTACCTGATGAGGGACTCGCTGAATCTCGCAAAAAATGCTTAGATTTCAGAAAAGTTTGCTTACATTTATTGAAATTAAGGAAGAATTGTGGTGACATTTAGCAAAATAAATTAGCTGGTGGTTAAATTATGCATTTTCAATAATTAGATAACTTTTCCTGGCATCATTTTGCATTTTTTAATGATTATCACTGGAATTAATTTTTGTTTCATATTTTTAAGAGTTCCTTAGATTTTCCAAATTATTTTGGAATTTTTTTGCTGTTCAAATAGGCAAATTTTTATCAGACCTTAAACTTGTTAAAAGCACATTTGATAAGAGATAAGTGCCTAGCATTAGATTGTTTAACACGTGATAATACGCAGATGGTTAATGTGCCGGCGAGCAGTAGTGTATTTGCAACTATGGAACGCTGCACATAACCCAATTATTTGTTTGCCTGGCGCAAATACTAACACTGCTCAAATGCGCGCTCCGATTAAATTGCCCGCGAAAGTGTGACGCTTCCAAGCAAAATCTGCATTGTTTCCTTTGCTGTCACGTCAAAGGTGATGCTGAGCTCCAAGAAAAAGTCTGGCCGTCCAAAAGAACTTTTGGCATTTGCACGACATGGACAGTTACGACAAATTAGGAGACAAACGACCGGCCATGGGTGCAGCAAGAGCCTCGTCCAGATGCAAAACCTTCATGATTTTCTTCTTTGTGATCGTGGGAGCAATTTTAATGATAGCTTTGAACATTCTCCAAAGTAGGGAAACTCTTTTGGAGGACTCTCCGCTAAGCGATCATTTATTGAGATCAATCATGGCAGAAATTTTCAATAGCAATAATAATGACTCCGCTGAACAATCTCAGACATCAAATCTCACAGCAGTAATAACAGGTAAAATTATTGTATTTTATTTAAAAAGTCTATAAATTTTAAATTGCAGAACCTACTTTAAGTGTTGGTAAAATAAATGAATCAACGTGCAGCCAAAAGGCCACAAACCGAGGCCCACACCAGAGGGTGGTGTCCTTTTCCTACTACGGCGGCATCACCAGCAAAAGGGGCTATTTCAGCGGCATTGAAGAGAACGCCAAACTGATTCAAAAGATCTACCCCAATTGGACGATGCGAGTTTATCACGACATCAAGGACGAAGGCAGATTTCACCAAATCCTGGACGATCTGGAGCAAAAGTTCGGCAAAGTTCTCGACCTGTGCTTCGTTGGAAATTTACCCATTTTCGGAAATATTCTTGGTAATATTTTAAAAGTTTTAATTTTAATAAGGATAAAATAAATATTTCTCTATAAATAAAGGGACTCAGCAGAATATGTGGCGCTTCCTGTCACTGGCCGACCCTTTGGTTGACAAATCCCTGTTCCGAGACTTGGACAGCAGCCTTAATGAAAGAGAGGCCAGTGCTGTGCAAGAGTGGCTCAACTCTACATACCCCTTGCATGTCATGAGGGACCATCCGTACCACTACCACCCACCAATTCTTGGTAAAAAAATTTTAATAATTTAATTCTGGTATAAAAGTATAAATTTTAGCTGGAATGTGGGGTGCACAGCTTGACCTGGGCCACAGAGACCTTTGGAAGGAAGCTTTGCGCAAGATGATGGAAATGGGCAAAGTTGCTGGAAACAAGGGTTTGGACCAGGGTGCTTTGCAGGCTGTCGTATGGCCGCTGACTAAGACCAAAGGTTTATATTTACTTTCTAAGAAGTTTTTATCCCGTTAATTTTGGAACTTTTTTAGGGTTTTTATTGCAGCACGATAGCTTCACCTGCGACAAAGGCGAATTTATAGTTGCTGGGGAAGTAAGACACTTTCCAAAATGCAGAACTCCAAAGGTGGGAGGAAATTTTGTTGGCTCGAGAAAGGGAGTCGACACGAAACCAATCACTGAACCTTGTCCGAAGAAGTGTCGAGCGCGCGAGAGATGTGTCCAGTGCTGATGAATTGCATATTTATTAGTGGAAAGAAGTGCCAATAATTTTTAATAAAATTGTCTCATAAAATCCATCAACTGAATATTGATTCTACCATTTAAGGAGAATCAGTAAAAAAAAAAAATGTGTAAAAATCAGGTTCATTTCAATTTATTTTGAAGAGATTGATGACAACAGGTTTAAATCTAATCAATTTATAAGTTTTTCAAGACAGACCAGAAAAAGGGAACATCGTCGTAAAATAATAGAAAGTTCATACAGTAAATCGTGAAAAAAATTAAGCACTGAGAAAATGCAACAAATTTGCACAGGCGCTGAAGATTGTTGATGGCGCGTGAAGATTTTTTGATAAACCGTGTTTACAAAAAGTGACAAAGTATAATTCATTTCTCAATAATCAAAGGAAACAACTTTTGTGCACAGTTTAGATATCTATACGAGGTCAAAACAATATGAAATGGAAAAACGGCTTAAATCTAGTCTAAAGAAAAGGGTGCGTCTAACAGTGGTCCAATAAATATGTCAGCAAAAAGTACAAGCACATGAGAGTGGGGCAAAATTAGTCAATCAATAGCTACCTCAGTTGAAGGAGTTAAAAAATTTGATTTTCGTTTGCCAATCAAAATATATAATTATGTACGTCAGCAGCTTTCCTCAATAAATGCTCAGGTTCGTCTCTCATCGAGAGGCAGCAGCAGCGGAAGAAGCGGTTCAACGACTATTTTTGCACAATATATTAACACTATTTATATAAGCATAGATTTTCTAATTCAGCGTACATTTGAATATGCAGTCACTTCTCGCACTTAGACAGCTGCTCTTACTTATTATAAGCATGTTTGCAAAAACTCTGGCCCACTCTGTTCACCGAGCTTCCCTCAATTCAGACGTGGGCCAGGTTTTTCGTCATTCACAAATGTTGTGGGATAAAATTACATAAGGCATAGCTGTAGATATATATATTGAATTTAAGCTTTTTTAGAAGGTCAATCTTAAAATCTGCTCAATCTCTCTGATCAAATTATTTCTTTCTGACTTCGTACTTGTCTTTTCTTCACATTCAAATAGCTGCATCATTTAATACAGTCCTCATCACTCAAATATATAATCAATTTTTTTCTCTCGCTCCCTCTAAAGTACTAAGTCTATTGCTGTTGTTAACATTAGTAGTTGTTGGTATTTCTTCTTTTTTAATATTATAGACATTGCGTTTCAAAAAGCACCTGTCATTGATCAACATTGAATTTGCGCTCCGTAGTTGGAGACTTCAAAAAGCACACTCTCGCGTTAGTGGTTAAATAAAATAAAAACTGCAGCAGCACCTGGTTACCAGAGAAAAAAAATCACCCATAGGAACTTAAACAACAAAGAATAATAAGCTAGTATTTTTACCCTAGGTTGCGTAAAATTGCGACTGATGATGTGACTAATTACAAAGAAGTTGATAAAAAGGTAACTCGAGAGAGAGATGCACATATTTCGGCTGCACTAGAGAAGCATCAAAAGCATTTGACGCCAAAATTTTTCTGATGTGAAGTGATGCTGGGTGGTATTTTAGAAGAGGAGGGCCCTCCTCTTCAGGTCGTTCCGCTTCCACTGCGGCATGCGGTAGAATTCCATTCTGGGCACGTGGAAAATCATCTCAAACTCACTGTCAGACAGATGCCTCTGCAAATTTTAAATTTATTAAAAAAAAATATTTAAAATTTACAAAATTGTTCCATTTTGGAAAATTAAATTGATAAATTTCCATTTGCGGAGTCATTTAGAATAATAAAATTTAATGCCTTTTATTATTATTATTTTTTTTTATTAAATGAGAAAATGTTAATACCTCAAGGTTAAGGCGGTCAACGTCTCCAGGCAGGCGGTAGTTGGTGGTCATCAGCAGGTGGTAAGGGTAGAGTTTTGGCGGCTCGGCAGAGGCGGCCGACATGGCCACGGCCATGCTGTGGTTCAGGGTGGGCAGCGAGCGACGCAGGTGAGGGCTGTACGAGTGCGAGGCGGCCGGCACGAAGGCAGGGTAGCACCTCTGGATGCCGCCGCCAAAGGTCGTCGAGCTGCGGAACTCACTTGAAGCGTCGGTCACATGACCCTAATTCGAAAATATTCAACAATCAGACCCTTGAATTTTTCCATGCATGCTGCTATGTAAAAGATTAAATTAGTAAATAAAATGAAAGAGAAAAGTAAGTTAATATATAAAAAATTAAAATACTTTTAAACAAAACTAATTTTGTTGGGACTTTTTGAAGGTCCCTTTTAGTTGGAAAATTAAGAAGAATGAATTAAATGGTGAATATTTTTTTTAGAAAGGATTATTTTGGGAGAGGAAAGCTTGTGGTAGCAGTTGGCAGTTGTAGATGAGAGTTTGAGGTTTTGCATGAGAAGCCACAGGTAAAGCACACTTGAAATTGGAAACACCAAAAGCACCACAAAAGCTCAGATACTTACCCCGAGTGCTCTGCGGTCTACCTCACAAATTGAGCCTCCTGAAACTGGACAAAAAATAACGTTTAAACTTGCTGCTAATTTTTTTTTAAAGTTACAAATTATGTGAGATTGTTTTTAATAGTGGAACTTACTGTCTGATTTTCCACTGCTGAATTCTGTGCTCTGTGTCTTTTCACCTAATCCACTGAATGAGAAGTCCCCCTAAAACGGACAGCTACGATTAACCACAGGTCAAACTTTCAAAATCTACGTACTTTTTACTAAATTTTGAAAATTTAATGATTCGTGTTTTCAGTGTATTTTTGTGATTTAGATGTTCAGAGAAATTTAATTTTCGTGCTCTTTGCTGTTAGTAGAAATCATTTCAGCCAATTCGGGTAATTAAAGTTGGAAATTAAGTCAAACGCATGCATTTGAGAAGGAATTTGAGGTGCAACCAAACTGTGATGGTGCTTTTTGAGGCTACTCAAACTTTTTAAATTTATTTGGACAGGACAGTGAAGATTTGAGAGAACTTACTGCCATTGAACTAGAGAAGGTATGAGACCGTGGTGCTGCCAGTCCATAGCCAGGCTTTGGTACATGGCGAAGCGCGCTTACCACTAAAACAAGCACCAACATAGCCAGCCATAAAACTCAATTCTAGCACTTATTTCTGAAACCGCAGACACGCACCGGAGCTTCCCAAATAAAACAATTACATATTGTCAGGCCCCGGTGCAAATAACCAACGACGTCAGCCAACCTGCCGGTCCGCATCTGGGCGTGCACTTCTGAATAGCAAACAATCAAAACAACCACCTTGTTCAAAGGAGAAAGGAAAACAGAAAAAAACGGAAGACGAAAACAGCCCCGAAACGATTAGTAAAAAAAAAGGCATAAAACATTTGCAATATTGGACAGTGATGATGAGACTGCGGGTGATGTGGTGGTGTGAGCAGGTGTTTGTAATTTATTGTGGCGCCTAGAAAGTCAAACTCACTCCGCTGTAAACGCCGGGCGGAGAGTAAAAGCCGTTCCGTCCTGAAGCCGGGAGGGTGCTCGACTTGAGGCCGTAGCCAGGTTTGGGGGCTGAGTGGAGAACTGTGAGTGGTTAGGCACATAATCATCAAAATAAAGTGAAATCAGCTCAATAAATGAACTGAATACATAAAAAAAAAAAATAAGAAATTTTAAATAGAAAAAGAATATCTAGTTGAAAAAGGTCCCATCCTAAAAACAGTGCTAACTAGCAATGAAAGGATTTTTTTTAATTGTAGCAAGTGGTTGTTGCCCCAAAAATAAGAAGGTTTGCTTGATTTTACCGTTGTAGCTGGGAATAGCACCAGTCGATCGTCCCACAGATGATCGGTAGCTAGAGCTTCTGTCGAATTGATCCTCCTCCCATGGCCGGGGGTGGTCCATATTGCGAGATGGTGCTGCAAAATTGAATCTTGTCAAATTTTGAAAAGCTTCAACTCATAGTCGGATGCAAATGATAAAAATTCATGAAAAATTGGTGGCTTCAACTTTACTTTGAAATTGCCTAAAGATAATTTCAGCTTAATTCAACTTGGTAAAAGATGTGATTTGAAGAAAAAATCTTTAGAGTAAAATGAAGTCAATTGGTGATTTATTCGCAGCTCACCAACTTTCTCCCGGATCCAAATTCATAGCGACCAATAATTGGAAGGAAATTAAAAACTAAATTAAAACAGTGTTCTAAAATTTGCAAACTCACATGCATTGATAGGGGACTCGTATCTGAGTCGGTTGATTGGCTCTTTGGCGGCCGACGGAGTCCTCGAAGCGTTCCTCGGGTCCAAGTGGCTCATCTTCCACTGCCTCATTTTTTCCCTCTCCCTGACGTTCTGCAGGAAAACCTTGCCGATGCCAGTGGCGATCTTGGACAGTTCGGCCTCCTCCCTCCTCAGTTTGACATTCTCAATGACTTTGCAGTCGATCTCGTCGGGTCCGTTCGGACTTTGCACCTCGTTATTCTCGTCGTCGGAAATGGGCACGCCCTTGTACGAGTCTGACCAGCGGCGCCGTCGCTCAGGGTCTGTGTACGGATAGGGAGGGGCCGGAAAGTCGTCCCGCTCGATCTTGGATTTCTCGCCCGGAGGGGGACGCTTGGCGGCCGGAAAGTGGGCCAGCTCGATGGGCTCCTCATTGTTCATGTGCGGCGACTTGGGCCGCGGAGTTTCCGTCTTGATGCTGTCCACCAGCACCTGCATGGCAGATCGAGAGCCGTGCTTCAGCAACACTCGGGAGCGTGACGATGACTGGGCCGCTGAAACAATTCACACAAAACATTAACAAACAAATAATATTTATTGAGATAATTTCAGGCCAAATTTAGAACAGATCTTTCTGGTTATAAAGTTATAATAGTCCAGGAAAGAAAGGTTTCAAACCGGAGAAATTCATGTGATTTTGAAATTTTCACCCTCTATTGGGATTGCATTAAAGCGTATTTTCGAAGATTTCCCAAGGTTTTTAGTCTACTAGGTCCGTAGGGTTGACATTGAGCAGAAAACCTCATTTTTCAACCTTTACGCCCATACAACTTTTACCAATTTGGATTTAGAAGAAAATGTTAAATAGAATAGTGTGCAAAATTAAATTTTCTACAAATTTTGTTCAAAATTTTTTTCTCTAAAATGTCTTCTATAAGACCTACAGCTCAAAAAAATAAATACAAAACTTGACCTTGGTTCAAACAATTGAAATGTTTTTTTGTCAATAATTGTCTTATTTAAGTAAACTTGATAAGTTTTTGAAAGCTAATTAAATTTCTGATCAATTGACGTTGGTCCCATATTTGAACAAGAAATAGAAAGATCACTACAACAAAAACTAAGAAATACGCCACATTTCAAAAGATACTTTTCTACCTGGGAAATCTCAGAAAATTTGTCACAATGCGCTTCCAATAGATGGTGAAAATTTTATACTGGCACAAATATTTTTCGGACTACATAGGGAGAAATGCATTTGATTCTATTTAAGAAGCTTTTTAATATTGTCATTATTTTTTAATTTTCACAAAAAACTAAATGATTGAGGAAAGCTTACAGTGGGGCCTGTGAAAGTGAGGGCTGGTGGGTGGCTTGTCGTAAGGGTCAATGGGTCGACGCAAGTAGGAAGATGCGTTATTTGGTTCCTCGGTCAGATAGCTGTAAGTGTAGATGCGGCTGATGTCCTCGGGGTGTTTGTACTCTCGCAGGATCAATCCCGGGGAGCTTGATCGGTACTGAAAGGTGTTAGACTGATATAAGTTTTAATTTGGCTGTCCTGTGTAATGAATGAGACGACGTGATTAATCGACAACATGGATCGGTGAGTAATTATTGATCTCTACAAAAGTGGTGTCAGGATTACCTTTCTATTCAAGCTATTTAAGTGAGGACTATAACACACTGAGCCATTCAAACTGGGTGTACGAGAACGTAAAGAAAACTGCAAATCAAACGAAAAAGAATAGAATCATCAAAATACAAAGACGGCTAAAAAACGAAATCAAATTTTTGTCCACGGTTTTGTAAAAAGTGGCAAAAATCTGGTTTTACGAGACATGCACATTTTAAAATATCAACAAAAATCAAGTTTAAATTCATGCTCCGTGCTGGTTATTGTTTTCAACCACGTGTAAAGACCTGCATCTCGCTGGGGGCAGCACTGCTCATGTGGTCAAAACCACCTTCAGTGTCAGTGGTGGCGTAGCCGTCTCTGGTGCCGTTCTCATAAGCATCCAGGGCAGAACCGTTTCCATTGAGGATGGTTCCGTTCTCGGTGGGGCCAGGGCCACACCGCGGGTGCCAAATGGCGCCGCCTTGCAGGAACATTTCTTCGCCATCACCGAAAGGATCTCCGCATTTTGTGCATCGAGCACAAGTTGGATGGAAGTGGTGATTTTCACCAGCCTGATATTAAAAAGAAAATATTTTATCAAAAGAATCATTTTTTTTATATTGACAGACCTGAAGCACCTTTCCTGATATGTAACGACTACAGTAAGCACACTTGACACCAAACTGTTTCTGGTAGTCCTTCTCGCAGTAGGGAATTCCATCTCTGCAAAAACAGAATTATTTTAAATTGTCAACAAGAGTAGATTTTTACTCACTTTCCCATGTATTCTCCCTGAAGGACGGCGCCACAGGCGTGACACTTGAAGCAGGCAACGTGCCACTGCCTGTCGAGGGCCACCAGCGCCTGTCCCTCCTTGAGCTCTTCCTGGCAGCCAGCGCACTGCGAAGAGAGGAGAGGCAGCGAGTTGGGCACCGCCGGCGACCCGGTGGTCACCTGCTGCAGGTGGGAGCTCTGCGGGACAGGCCGCTGCCCGCCCTCGGCACACCGTTGGCACAACACCTGCCGCCCATTGTAGGTGACCCGGTCTCCCGATGGAAATGCTTTCCTGTAAATCAAAATTTATATTGTTTGATGAAGTCAAATTATTTAGAAACATGTATTTATTAATGGGATATATGGGTTGTAAAGACTGAATTAAAAATTAATATGTTGATTTTAATTATGAAAAATTTTTCTACAAATAATAGGAAAATATTTTATTCCATTTAAATCAAATGAATCAACATTTTTAGTGAAATTTTATGATTGAGGGTTGATTCATGGTAATTTGAATTTAAAATTTGGCTTATCCTCAAAGAGTGTTTGTGAATTTTTATTGCTTAATAAAAAACAATATCCTACTCTACATGTTTTGGCTGCAGGCTGCAGCCATAATTAATGAAATGTGAAATAATTTTGACAACAATTAGTACGAAAATAAATCTTGTAGAGCAGGATAATGTTTTTTCTTAAGCAATAAAAATTCACAAAAACTCATTGAGGACAAGCGGAATTTTAAATTCAAATCATCATAAATCAACGTTTGTTTGCATTTTTGCTATTGGTATTTCCTTTCAAACACATCATTTTAAATCCAATTGTTCCCTTAGTTTGTTTTTGTTCTCTGGCCGATATATTTTTAAACTGGACGCGATTCACGTGGAATGTCCGTCTTACAAGTGCAGCGGTCGCAGAAGTGCTAACCGGCCGCTCGGCTTCGTACTTTATCGATTTGCACCGAGCAGGGGCTGGGAAGAGATATAATGAAAAGTTATAATGTTTGCTCTGTACGCACCGGCACAAAGAGCATGTGAAGCATCGCTGATGATAGGTGTTGCCGAGGGCCGTGACCACCTCACCCTCGACGTAGTCGCCGCAGGCCACGCACTTGGTGCCGAACTGGCGCTGGTAGTCGCTGGTGCAGTAGTAGGCGCCCTCGTGGTTGAAGAAGCCGCCTTGGGCCAACGACGCCTTGCACACTGAAAATTAATTCAAAAATTAGATTTTGCCAATTTTTTTATTTAAAAACTGATACTTTATCAATTAAAATTTAATAATTATTTATTTAAATGAATAAATATCATTTTGTGTAGAAATAATTTGAATACTTTCAATTTGTGGAATTATTTCTAGTCTTACCTTTGCACTTGAAGCAGGAGATGTGGAAATATTTGTCCTGCACGCGCAGCACCTCTCCAGAGCACTTCTTCTTGCAGGTGTGGCATATTATTTTACCTGGAACATACAAAGAATGCAAGTCAGAAATCAATATAGCTGTGAATACGAACGAATAAGGCTTTTGTTTCGCGATTGTAAGAGAGAATGAGCTCAATTTTTAAGTGAAAGAAAAACGACCATCACTAAATTTAATAATGAACAAAACGACATTTGATTTCTACCGAATTCTGATCGAGCCAATGGAGCATTAAATTGAACTGGAATAAAAAACTACTAGACTTTTCACTTCCTTAACTTAATTTGAAAAAATGTTTAAATAATTTTGAAGAATTTTAAATTTTTTACTCTTCGGAGTGCTTTCCAAGCCACAAAAGTAGGCCACCCGCTGATAAATCGACCCTTTTTATCAGGTGCACTTGAAAGCGACCTTTTCCAGAACAAATTGTGGAAAACGTTTCGAGCTCACCGTAAGGCACTTTGTGTGCCTTTCCCTTGGCGTCGTACTCGATAAGGTACCTCATCGCCGCGCGGCGACTTGATTTCCACTGCTGATAATCAGCCGAAATCGTCACCCAAAATTTCTTTCTCGGCTATCGCGAGAATGGCTTCTGAACGAGTGAGTGATTGCTCAGGAATGAAAGAAGCGCATTCACCGCGCTCGCTCGGCGGCACTGCCGGTGGCGAGGACGGCGCAATAAAATTTCGTGCAGTTCAAAAGGACGCCGCACGCCGAATCATTAGCAAGCGCATCGGGGCTTTGTTTCGCTGTTTGTTCAGTCCGACAACCAGTTTCGCGCCGAGATTAACAGTTCTTTCCGTTGTCACAAGTTCACTCAAGGGTAAACTGCATCGGAATGGAACTGCAGCTGAATTTCAATAGTTTTTATAACTTATTGGGAAGAAGAATTTTAAAAAATTATTCATTTAAAATGGAATTATACAAGAAATTGCATAAAAAAATTGCAAATACTTAAATTTTCATTCAAATCAAACTAAAATGCCTGGAAGGAATAGATTTTCAAACAAATCCGGTTGCTATTTAAATTTCTTATTTTTTAAACTAATTTGCAAGTCAAACATTCGCCGCGCGTACACTAAATTTACTCTCCAGGCGCGCACAAGGGCATCTGCGAAAAGCGGCGCGTCCAGGAAGATGAGCAGCGCCGTTTATTTTTGTGTCCATAATCGCCCGAGTGATGATTCGACGCTTTCACAAAAGACGAAGGCCAGCAGCTTAGGGGCGTGTCTGGCGAATTTATATTATATTTTAAGCACTATTTTATTATTATTGATTGATTTCCCTTTTTAAAAAGACCCAGTTATTAAAAATAATTTAAAAATGATATAATTTTTTTTAGCTTTTTTTAGATGAGAAAATCCCAATAAAATAATTACCCAATCTTTCAAATTTTAAGTTGAAAGGTTCCGCCACTTAAGGGGTTTCCTGTCTGCCGGGGCTGATAATTTGCCTAATCGCCAATGAAATTCCAGTCGGCGATAAATTTCAATAAGGGCCGAAATCTGCAGCTTCGACCTTGGTCAAAGTCGTGGTTTGCTTTTTCAAGCAGGGGCGGCCTAGCTGCTTGCGGTGCAATTATTGTAGCCATTACGAGAGGGTGACGTCAGCCCTCGAGTGGGAAGAAGATGGTCCGATTAATTACTAAAACAATGCAGGCCAAGCCGAGGCGTTTCCAGCAACTTCTAATTATAAATAAGCGCATCAGAAAGTCAGAAAAAAACTCTAAATGATTCAATTCTACACTGGTTTACAAAGTTTTCTCTCCTTCCAAAAGTTAAAAAAAAAAACTGATTCTAGAGGATATAGAATTATAAAAGAAGATTCCTTTATTTTTAGTTCAAAATGAGATGATTAATTAAAAAAAAAAAACTCTATAGACGGATTTACATTATATTTTTAAAATTAGGGCATTTTGATGAGAGGTGTGGCCGTCAGAGCCAATTTATTTTGTTATTATTCAAAGTGGGCGGCGCGCATGAAAGTTGCGTGAAGTTATGCGCCTCGGCCTGCACCAATTGTTTAACAAGGCTAATAGCGCAGCAGGCATTTGAACAAGACTTTGGATTGCTTCGAAGCAGCACCAACGTCAAAACTTCTACTTTTGAAATTTCGCACATCAGATCGGGTCGATTTCGTTTTTGGCAACAAAACGTGATGGGAACAAATACTAGATTTCTCATTCGCGACATCAAAGGAAAGAGAGGGTTGTTTGGCTTAATTGATGAGAGACGGGAGGTTGATTAAGGTTTGAATGAGTTTCCGTCGGGGCTCTAAATTGATCGACCTCAATCTTTTATCAGAACAAAATAGAGTCGAAAATTTCCAAGCTTTAGATGAAAATGACGGCAAAAATTGTTGTTTGTTTGAATTTGTTTTGATTAAAAGTTTTTAAATAATTAATTAATAATAAAAAATGGAAATTTTTATTACAAAGGATACATTTTTTTTAACTAATTTTTTTGCTCAATTCATGGAAAAATCTGTCAAATTGTTTTTCATTTTCTGAATAATTATTACAATAATTAATTGAAATTCCACTAAAATAAAGAAAGTAAAAGTTAGAAAAGAATAATTTTCAAGAACCAAGGGCGTGGCATTTTGCTCTTCTCTTCTCTCTCAAGAGCAATTAAAATCGACTTTGTAAATAAATGCAGCATCATTTGAGGAAAAGATTAGATAAAAAAGCACGCGGCGTCTCAAAACTTCTTTCCTCCTCCGTGCTCCGTGTTATCACAAGAGAACAAGAACAAGGATTTCGCTCTCCGCAAGAGCGCAGGTAATTGACACTCGCCTGTGCTCTCTAATTTGATACCGCTGGGAAAATTCTCATTCGCGCCATTTCCCGATGAGAGGAAACACGACGAATTTTGAGCCAATTTGGAGCCGGACCGACACGCAATTGCACCCTGGAGAGAATAAAAAAGAAATGTCAAGCAACTCAACAGGGCCATTCCGACACATTGACCGTGATTACGCCCCCTTTTACCGACGTAATGCTGAAAGTTGACGCCGAGCCAAAAGCTATTTTGTATGATGGGCGGATGTGTTCTGAAAATTTTCAATCGAGTAAACAAATACAGGCTGCTGAGGACTTTGTAGTTAATTTGATTTGAACTTAAAAGTCTTCAGACGGTTGGAGTGAATAATTAGCTTCTTTTTAAATGGAAAAATCAGCTTTAAGGGATGAAATTAAAAGCTAATAAATTGAAAATTTAACAAGGTGCTTGGCTTATAATCAATTTTGATGATAATTTTCTCTTCGTAAGCATTGGTTTGTGAATTAATGTTATTTGCAAGGAGAAAAAATTAATTCATTGCAAGAACTGAATTTTTTAAAAATTAACATTTTTAATATACAATAGAAATCTCAACTTTAAAATTTACAGTAATTTTAAGGAAAACTTTTTCATTAAATTTATTTTCAGTGTGGATATAAATAAAATTTAAATTATTTAAAGAACATTGTCTGATGTTAACTTGGACAATTTTGTTGAGCAAGTATTTTGCAATCTTCTTCCTAATGCCTGCATTAATAAACACTTTTCTCTTTTTCCCCATCAGCCAGATTAAACTTGAAAGCGACTTTTAACTTCATACGTGAGCTTTACTCTCGTGTCTGGCTGTTCGTTGAGCCAACGTAACGCGAGACAAAGGCGAGCAATCAAGCAAAGCACGTTCTTAAAAAAGCATGTTGGTGAAAAATGAACGTCGTCTGTGCGGTCGGCGCGTTTTGTCAGCGGCAGACTAAATAAAGAAAGTCTCCCTTTTATCGCTCGCGAGTCTCTTCGTGTCGGGTAATTAAAACGCGAGGGTAAAACACTCTTGGAGTTTACAAAAATAGATTCGACAGAGACCGCGACAGACGAGGGAAGTGAGTATCAAGAAAATGGTGCAGCGGCGTCGCGCGTGATTAGTTTTCCGATGCGCCGAAGGAAATAAATCATCCTAGGTCCGGAATCAGAAAAAAAGTTTAAAAAAATTATAATAATTGAAGTGATCTATTAATTTGATGGAAAATTTAGTGCAAAATATCTGATCTAATTTATAAAAAAAAAATTATTAAATCTTAATTTTACTCTGATCAATTAAAATTTTGAGGAAGAGGTAATTAATTGAGATATTTATTGTTCTAAATTAAACTCGATACGAATTTAATCAATATTTTAAGCTTTCATTGCAATATCTGCATAATAAATTCAACAATTGGCAACAATTGATTATATTTATTATTTTTTATTGATCACTCGTCAATTTGTTTGATTAAATATTTACATTTATTGGGTCAATTGAATAAATTTAAATTAAAATGCCATTGAACTGTGGAGTTGCATATGCGACTAATTCATTTCGAAACGTTTCGTCAGTCCGGCTTGCATCTCTTTGGACAGACGGGTTGCATAATCTCGCGGGACAGAGATGAGACAATTCATATAAACAAAGCAGGTGACGGAATGGTGCGTGTGTTTGCTCTCTCGAGGGCACTTCATCAACAACACACGCTGCTATTTGCGGCAATAACATCATCATTTAGAGAGAAAGACTAATTACCTCGAAGCACGCCAGGAAAAATGCATAATCTCGTTTTGCCTCAACACGAACGGAGACAGATTTGAATAAAATACTAGAAACGTGAGTTCGCCGTGGGGATTGCAGGTTTATTTTTATTTGTTAAGATTGTAACAATCTCTGATTAGTTTAGATAATCACTCCATTAAATTCATTATAAATTTTTTGATTATTTTCAGATTTAATTAAGTATTTTTTTTTTAATTTTAGAAATTTTGAAAATTTGTGCTATAATAAAATCGTTTCATTCAATTTATGTAAAAATTATCGTCTACAAGAATTAATTTTAAGCTTGTAGCAGGAAAAGTTCAGCAAATAATGCTTTGAGAGTTGTTCTGGCGTTGGAAGGGACTAGACCGTCTGAATTGAGCTTCACAAGCGAGCGACGGTTTTTACGAGCGATGACATCACACACACGACACGCGGAGCAAGTGACCTCTATTTATGCGCACATAATTGCACAATCACTTTTTCCTCCATTATTAGCAATCGCCTCGGATAATATGAATAAAAAAAAAACGCTCTGCTCGAGTGTGGTGAAAAATAATAAGAATAAACAATCGACTCGGTGAGTTACGACGCCATTCTTCAAACCTATTGTTTCACTGAATGGAATTAATACATTGAGAACTTCAACACGACTTTGGAATTTGAAAGAGGGGTAAAAATCATATAAATTAATTTAATAAGAAAAAAGCCAGAAACTTCTTGAACAAATTAAAGGAAAAACCTCAACGTTATTTCTGGTAATTTTCTTTAGTCATTCAATTTAATAACAAAACTAAGTTCAAGCAAAAATCTATGTCAGTGTGAAATTGAGGATGATCTTGAGTTAACACGTCTGAAGCGTGACCTTGGACTCCGAAAAGGGAACTGCACCAAGTGACGTCACTGGAGCGTGGAATAACAAGGCGGTTGCGTCACCACTTGGGTGAAAAGAAGGTGTGGCCTTTTCCGTTTCTATTTCTTTGCAAAGGGCAAAAGGTTCATTGAGTTCCGAAAGCAAACTTTTCACAGAATCAGATTGGATTATTTCTTCCTTTTTTTTTAATGGCTCAATCTGTCTGATCTCAGGACGTATAAAATTTCCTGGACGCCATAAAGATCTCGTCTTTGTTTACTTTTCGTGCATCCGATGGCCCCGTTATGATAAAAGGCCAATAAAAAGCTTCAGATTTTATGCGTTATTTTTATCCCTTTAAAAGGCGCACAAATCAAATTGTGCGTGGTTAAAAAGCCTCTCAAGCGTGCGACCCAGGTGAAAGTTTGGCCAATTTAATAGTCATTAGCGGAATAGGACGGGAAAAAATGAGGCGAATGACTCATTTCAATGAGCACCTGCACCGAGAGAAATTAACCTCTCTAAACGCACTGATAAAAATTTACTGTTTTGCTTGCGCAAGGAAGATTAAAATAAAGGTTAGCAAGTACAATAAGATATGATTTGAAAAATACTTTCCCTTCTTGATTTCAGTTTATTTGTATGGTATCGTATTATCATGTTAGTTTTATTTATTACGGTGCATTTGTGTTTTAAGAGGAAGGTTTTTTAAAATTATCTTTCTTGAAATAACAAGGTTTTATTTAAATTAAACTCTTTTATGAATTCACTGGAAAAAAATTTCCTGTCGAATGTGAAATGATTTTGAAACAGGAAAATAAACTTTCAGCAAATTAAAATAAATTACTAAAAATACTAGATAAATATTCAAACTGTTTGGTCGTTAAAATAAGTTTGTATTTTGTAAATAAGACTTCATTTTCAGGCAAAAATTAATTAAATTATTCCACTATTTAATAAGTATTATTTTAGGTTTATAAATAAGTTTTGTGATTTAAATCAGATTAAAGTGAATGTGTTGAAAAATTCAAGCCTTTGACCTCGCCATATTATTCGGAAAGCCTCGCTTTGCATATAAATCTAGAGATGCCCTCCGAAGATAATTTTTGGCACAACCTTCGGCTCGAACACCGTAATCAGTACTTTTAATAATAATTGGTATTAAAAAGCGCACTTTCGATTCACAGGTCTCTCGTGTGTCGCGTGCACTGACCTTGTCACACAAATACACTCTTGGATTATATTTTAATTCCAGTGGCATAATTTATTATAAAACAAGGTAACCAGAGCCCTTTCTCGTCTCTCTCACTTTGGAATATATAAAAGCTCCTCTTGTTTGTTTGAACACATTTACACAACTTCTTGTTTGTTTACCAATTAACTCTGCCGTGATATCAAGTATCGATTTCTCTCGTTATAGACAAAGTTTGCTTTTCTTACCTTTCGACGGCGACGTTTTATCCTTCGAGTCCTTCTTGGCCGTCTTTTTGTCTCCTCCGCGCGACGAGGACGCCACCGAAGAAGGCTGGTCTGACGTTGTCATTCCTTTCTCTGCAACAAAAACACACAAACACCAACGGTCAGTTGCGAAATTGATGCGTTTTTCAGGCACCAGCCTTGGAGCCGTAGAATTTTTATCACCGAACAAACAAGAGAAACGGATAAACTTTGTGTTTGGATTGTTGGAAAGATTTACTCGGTGGGTGTGAGTTTGAAAAGCGTTAAAAGATTTCAAAGAACGATTCGTTCCAGTCTAGTGTGGATGATCTCGACAGAAAATTTCTATTTGAAAGAGGATGGAACCTCCGAAGGCCACAAAAAATAAAGGTTTTGACCGTAAGGATCATAAGGACCGGGCAAATTTTTGAGAAAAGTTAAATTGAACGATTCATTTTGTCATTTTTAATGTTACCGAGAATATCAAGCTGATTTTTTAGCACTTTCAAACAAATAAAATGACAATATCCAATTAATGGAAAAATTTCACACTTGTCTTGTCTAATTCCATTATGGCCGCCGGAAATAAATAAGGTTTTACTAAAACTGCTGCCAAATTAATACGGATTAACTTTTTTAATTTTCTCGACTGGAGGTTGGAGCTAATGAACCAAAGAACCAAGTTTCTAGGTCAAAGGGTATTGATCCTAGCAAAAGGTCAAAATATTAAGTTTTATGCCCTGAAATTAGGCAACCTGACAAAAAATCCAAGATAGCCAAAAGATGCGCCATGTTATTTTGCATCAGAGTACAAATTTTAAATAAATTTGAACCAACCGTATTAAAAATATCATTAATCTCAAAATAGCGTTCAAACGACTGAAAAAGATAAATTCCGATAAAAGTTGGAAATTAAAACAAGAGTTATTTTCTTAATAATTTGCGAGTTAGTTCTATTGTATTCCATTCAAAATGGAAGAATTTGAAGAAGAAAATTGGTATACGTTAAAAACTCATTTTATTTAAATTAATTAAATTATTAAATCAAATAAAATTTTAATAATTGTATAGAAAATTGTGAGAAATCTTTGTGTCATCAGCAGCACTAACCTATATCAAGGTTGTTTGGAAACAAGGTCTGCTGGCGGTTTGATTTATAACTAATGGCATTACATCATAATCGGATTATTGCCGCAGATGAAAGAAGACCCCACGGCACACGCCTGCTCTCTCTCTAAATACGTTAACTACGCAAAGTGAACGCACATGACTCGTCTCTCGAGAGTCTCAAGTCACTTCCTTGATTCAAAACGAGGCACCGCCGGCGCTAAAACAGTGCGTGGAGCCTTAAAAATTAAACGGCGTCTGCAGGAAAAGTGAAATTAAGGCGGCAATTATGCTGTTAGATGGGCGCGGAAAGGAAGGATTTTAACAGTTTTACAGCTGAATTTTATTGCGTTTCACGTGTTAAAGTGTAAATCACAAGCCAATTAATTAATTTGGAACTTCTGCTGTTTTGAATGTATCTGTAAATATGCAAATCTTTCATTGATTTTGGCAATTTTTTATTATTAAACTTTGATAAAAAAATATTTCAATGAGTGAAAATAATACAAAATGAACCGAACTTGGTCTACCATGTAATTTTGAGAACTAATTTTTATGCAATTTATTGTAGGATCAGCTTGATTTTTTTTTTCAAAAACTAGATATTCGCATACAAATTTGATTTTGCTGCCCTGAGTTAATAATTAGTTTAATTTTGAATAAAAAATAAAGCTAAAAAATTGATATAAATTTCTGCAATGGAAATATAAAAATCGATTTACCAAAGAAGCAAAATTGCAGACCGTGGCGAATTTACGGTAGAGTGAGAGGCGCGGAATGTGGAAAATTGTGAGCGAACGAACCGTTATCGTCGTCATCTGCCGCGAGTGACTCATCCTAGCTATTCTGCAGAGCATCTCTTGCGTGATTCGGACGCAATTGTTCCAATTCCAAAGTTTGACAGGTGCATTGATTTCAATTCACGCATTGTCTGTTTCCTTTCACAAATTTGTCATTCTACAAGATAATTTTAAAATTTCAAATTTTATCAAAAATAAGTGATTTTGTTTAATTTTTTTTCTTTGCAATTTTAAAAATTTAATATTTTTTCAAACTTTCTCTCTGATATTGCGCGATTGGTGGCGTGAATTTTGACCTCGTTGTTGTCTTTGTCGTCGTCGCACCAAAACAATATATACCTGCGCTCGGCGCTCGCTCGGTATTTGGGTTAACATTTAATTAAAAACGCAACTGCGCGGACGCCCGCCCGCGCTCGCTCAGCTGTTGCTAACGGAATCGCGGCCACGCGAATAAATTTTCTATTAAAACAGGAAGTTTGAAAAATGAAAGGAGTGTAAAATGTAGACGTATTTTAGGGGTTGGCACTTTTTCAAAATTGCATGTCAACATTCGAATTGGCACTGGCGAGAGGCAAAAAAGTGGAGGCTGACGAGTGATTTTTTGTGACTGCCAAGCCTCCATTCATTAGTATCTTTTTTAACTCGTGATTTTGAAATACATTTTAAACTTACTGAAAATTTATTGCAAAATTATTGTTTTAAAATTGAAAGAAATCCAGAATGTTTTAATAATTACTTTCAATTTATTTGCATCAATAAATTTTATTTCGGTTTTTCAATTTGAATAAAAATTATTTGAATTGCATGGAAATTGAATAATTTCTTTGTTCTGGATGATTTTCAAACTCACTTTTCATAGACAATGCACGGTCGAAGCAATCGACCTGCCTGCGAGGTCGGAAAGTGGAAAAATTCCAGCGGCGTCTGCGGTTCCTGGAAAGCGCACGGCTCGCTGAGCACCACACGGAATAAAAAAAAAGTAATAACCAAGCACGCTGGATGGGAACCGAGCGACCGACGGGGGCCGCTGGCGAACGCAAACTGACGAGGAGCGCCCGTCGTCGCGGATCCCCCTCTATCCGGCGCTATGGAAATAGAATAAGAGAGTGAAGGAGCGCATTTCGATTTTATATATTCAAAATAACCATGAGACGCAAGTTTTGGCCCAATCACGCTGATGAGCCTCACGAGCACCGGAAATTAGCTCCGGCCTGTATCGCATTTCTATCTGGCTCAGAATTTGTCCTGATTCCGCCTTTGCAACTCATCTAATTTCAAAGTAAATTCCAAATTTAAAAAATGGAATTTTATAAAAAAAAAAAATGCGTTTTATATCAATAATGGCGGATTAAAAAAATTGTAAATTTTATAAGGAAAAAATTGGAAATAAGAATTTTATTAGTAATTTAATTTTTTAAGCTATAATGCCAGATTAAGTGAAAAAATTGTAATAAATTTAATAAAAAAATTTAAAATTAGAATTTTACAAAAAAACAATTAATTATTTTAGCAATAATGCCGCATTATATAAAAATTTTAATTCATTTCAATAAAAAAAAATTTAATTTTTTAACAAAAAATTTTGCAATTACTCCAGATTGAATTTAAAAATTAGAAATAAATTCGATATTATATGAAATTAAAAAATTCAATTTCATTTAATTTTTTTGTGCAATAATTCCTGATTAAATAAAAAAATTGTAATTAATTTAATTTTTGTTTGCGGTTCTCCATGTATAAATTATGCATTTTCAGAAATTACTGCACATTATATTATTATTATTATTTTTGTTTTCATTTCAAGTGATATTGAGTGAAGAACCCATTAAACCAGTTCAAACAAAAAACAAAACAAATCGGGTCAACCAACAATTATATTATTTCTTTTGTTTTCAATATTAATCCACAATGAACTGGTAGTTTCCAGAGCCATTGTTTCAATTGTTTGTTTTCGCTCCCCCAGCGACCAGTTGTAGTGCAAAGTCTTTAAAATTCGTTTTCCACCCCCTGACTGGTTTCGCGTGTTTATTTATTATTCCGCTCGCCCTTGCTTGCTTTTATCTCGATGGCGAATTTTCAAAACGAGAGAGAGACGGACGCGTCGTGCATGCTATTTGGAGTGATCAATAATTCACCAAAGAGGCTGCCGTGCTCCGCAGCTTTCGATTAGCAAATCAGGCGGAAATATTGAAGGAATTGGACCAATGATTATTGAGGAGAATAAAATTTCTAGCAAATTTGAAGCAAATCTGATCAAAAATGTATATCTTATTTTATTTATTTTAATCATTCTAGAAAATATTCACCAAAATAACTATTTACTAAAAAAAATGCCTAGCTTTTTAAAATAATTTATTGTATATAATTCCAGATTTTTGGTTAAATTTATGCACCATTAAACTGGCAGACAAATTTCCATGAAATGGGCGTAATTAGATTTCAAATCACGGGTTTTCTGGGAACAGTTTTCAGGAATTATGTTCAAGGGAGTCGCAATGTAGAAAGGAAAACGCTGTTTCAAATAATAAGCAAGGAGCCTCGGGAGGCAATTTACGACATCCGCCTTGGTGCGACACCTCCGATTAATTAACTCTGCCCATCCCCGCCGTGACCTTACAACACTAAAATTTAATGAAATAACTTTTACAAAAATAAGCTAATTGAATATAATCTTTTCTGGATACTACAATTAATTGTTTATTCTAATTTTACTGAAAATTTTCTACTCAAATTCAAGAATTTCATATTAATTCTACTTCTGGACAAAAATATAAATATCATTTCATTACAAATTAACAAATAAATAAGCATTTAAGATAAAATAAATTATGTGGAAAAATTCCAGTATTTTTTTTTATAATTATTTCTTAAAAATTTGTCTCCGTCGCCTACCTCTGGCCTCTTTCCACCGAAGCATAATTTTCAAACCTGCCAGCAATTGCGATAATTGAGCTCGACCGCAGAATACGCTTCTTGACAGTCTCGTAATGCAAAATTCGAGCGTGTTGCCAATAAAAAGTAGGGTAGAGCGAGAAGGACGGTGGCTGTCAAGGTGACAGCTGCGACTTACCCATCTTGCTGCGGCTCACGAGTCAAGAACCTGCGGACAAACGCGAAAAACACTATCAGAGCACTGATGTTTAATTGCGGCCGCTTCGCTACTCACCATCGGCCCGCCAAGTGGATGCAGAGATGATAAAATAGCTCGAGATAATGGACTGCTTCCTTTGATCAACCGGCGTGGGGCGTGGTTCCCCTCCGCAAATTACGGCCGATTTCTGCGCCCTGAAGCCGAAATGGGCCACAGGCCACCCTCCTAGGGGTGCGTTGGGACTTTTGCAAAAGTGCCGAACGCACGTTCGATCCGGGAAACGCGTCTTTTCGGCACCGGGGCGAAGTCAGGCCGTGCGAAATCCTGACATTTTGCAGCAGAGCGAGCGAACAACACCGAGGGGAAAAGTGGGCGGGGCCCGGCGATTTTCCCCTCGATCGAAACGGTTTTTCTCTCAAAAACCGGAGTAATAACCTTTCAAAAATGAAAAATTCACTTATTTAATCCTAAAATACAATTTATTTTGTATTAATAAACCAAAACTTGTTTAAAGTAATGAGAAATTTAAGTTAAATCGAGTTCGTATCGATCGCGGAAAGCCCAAAATATTTGAACAAAATTTAGTGAATTTCGTCGCACATCTGCTGCATTGTCAGTGCTGCCACCTGCATGAACTTGCTCAAAATAAATTTGTACGCAGATGGCGCGTAAGTCAATTGCGCGAGAATTGAGTTTTGTGATGATTTTCCACCGCTGGACCACAAATTTTAATTTCTTATCAATTTGTTCGAGATAAGGGCAAGTTTGAAATGTTTAATCTGTTGATCTAAATTATAAATATCTGGCTTTCCCACAGAAAAGTGCTTGTCATCATTCAAAGGCTGAGCCGAGAGCACTCCAAGAGTGCCGAATTTCGTTCTCATGTTGAGAGGCTTTTTCAGGGCAGGGCAACAGGTTTTGCAAACTGCCAAACAGCGAAAGTTCAAGGTCGGGAGGTTCTACAGCTACTCATCGGTCACTTCCAGGGTCTACAACTCGTCAGACATGGTGCTTATATACAATTTCAAGCAATAATTATTCTAATTATCCTTTTTTTTTTTAATTTCCAAAAATTATTATAATTTATAAATTTTTGCAGATTGACATAGACTTTCGAAGTGATACTGTCACAAAACCTACAGATGCTATGCGTCAGGCAATGGCAAGTGCCGTCGTTGGAGATGACGTTTATGAAGAAGATCCAACTGTTCAAAGTTTGCCATAAATATAAAAATTATTTATTATTATAATTTTTTTTTAATGTATTATTTTTCCAGAGCTGGAGAGAAAATCGGCTGAAATGATTGGAATGGAAGCAGCACTGTATGTTCCCAGTGGTACAATGAGCAATTTAATTGCAGGTTTGTAAAGTTTTTTCTTTTATTTTTTGATAAATTCGATAAATTTATTAAATAATCCACCAGCTTTGACCCACTGCAACCAGAGAGGCTGTGAAATGATTACTGGAGACAAAACCCACATGTTTCTGTACGAGCAAGCTGGAGTTTGCCAAGTAACAACTTTTGTGCCCTTTAAAAAAATTATAAAACAAATTTTTTGATTAGTTCGGCGGTGTTTCGATAAACACGGTAAAAAATTTACCAGACGGAACTTTTGACCTGGCCGAGATGCAAAAGCACATTCGCTCCAGAGATTTGCACGAACCGACCACAGCTTTAATTTGCGTTGAAAACACTCACAACAAGTGCGGAGGACGAGTTCTGCCTCTGTCGTGGTTGGACGAGGTTTGAATAATTTACAATCAGTGATTTTTTTTTAAATTATTCTGTAGCTTGTGGAGATTTCTAAAAAACGCAACCTTCCCCTTCACATGGACGGGGCTCGCATTTACAACGCTGCAGTTTACTTAGGAGTTCCTGCAAAGCGAATCGTCCGAGGCTTTTCATCGGTCAGCGTTTGCCTCAGCAAAGGTCTCGGAGCTCCAGTCGGATCAATTTTGCACGGCCCAAAGGAATTTATTGCTAGGTGAAAAAAGAAATAATATTTTTTAACAAAAATCACAAATTTTTGTAAATAGAGCAAGGCGACTTCGTAAAGCCCTGGGTGGCGGAATGAGGCAGTGTGGAATTATTGCCGCGGCTGGAATTGTTTCCCTGGATTCGATGATTGACCGTCTGGCTGTGGACCACGCAAACGGATTAGCTCTGGCTAAAGGTCTATTGCAATTTTTTATTGTAAAAATTTTAATATTTTTTTTAAATAATAGGAATTGCTGCCTTGAATCATCCTCTATTCAAAGTGGTCGTCGACAGCATGCAGACGAATATTTTGGTGTTTGAAGTTGACCCGAAAAGAGTCGACGCCAAAGAATTTTGTGCAAAACTCCAAGAGGTGATTTAAATTTTGCATTGTTTCAAATGTTAAGATTAATTTATTTTATAGACCACCGACGAGCAGCTCAGCGCTTTGGGAGGAAAAGATATCTGCGTAAAAGCCGTACCATTCGAAGCTCAGCTCATCCGGCTTGTAATTAACCACCATATTACTGCAGAGATGGTTGATTTGGCGCTGCAGAAAATAGCCGTTGTCATGAAAGAGTACAATTAGGGATTGGAAGATTTAAAGAATTACAAATTCTTTTAGAAGAGGAAGTCAAATTATATTGCATAAATGCTGTGCATCTGCATTATTTTAAACAAAAGAATAAATTTTAAAAAACCAAAATAAATCCTTAATATCATTAAATTTAAATTAATTCTATCAAGCTTCATTAAAGCCTTTTGGAAATAGTTAGGCCACCCTGAAATCTTTCCCGTGACGCAGGTTGCCTATCTTGAGATGTTTAAAAAAAAATTTCACCACAACAAAAACAAGCATGCGTCTGTCAAGGGGGAGGGGCGGACGTGGGGAATGCGAGTTGCCGCTGTCCAGCCGCTGTCTGCGGGCGACAGGCAGGAGGAGAGGGGACAGGAAGGTTGCCGAGCAGGTAGCAAACACAGGACAGTCGTGCTTCTCCGCCGAGCGAGCAAAACAGTAGCCGATTGTTGTTCGATGCCAACAAACACACGTGCTCCTGACGTGCCGATTGTTGTCCAAGCTTCGGGTTTGTGTTGCTGATTTCGACCAAAGACGAAGTGCTCGTGTCGAAAACCGTGTTGGGCGAAAACTGTCACCCGATACAGACAAGTGTCACCTGACTAATGAGCGGATTTGGATTATACAAAGTGACGCGACCTTCGAATTTGATTGAGAAAGTGATTTTCGACTTTTAATTCAGGTAAGTTATAATTTAATTCAATTTTTTTTTTTAATTTGATAAATAAATTTTTCTGGCAGAGAAAATATAAAAGAAAAATACAATGCGACCCAAGAGAAAGCCGTAAATTATCATTAACGCTGGCAAATAAAATAAAACACTATAATTAGGAGAGGTCGCCATTCGCAATCGGGAGAGGCATGATGGTGTTGCCGACACCTGAAGTTTTTTATTTATATTTTTGTTAATCTTGATTTGGCCGCAAAGAGAAAGTGTTGCGCCGAAATTATTCCTCGCGATTTTTTACGCTCGCAACGCGTGTCACTATAAATATACGAAGCAGGTTGTTTAATAATTCAATGAGCAAGTCACGGCTTTTGCAACAGGTGCTCCAGATAATCTCAATATTAAACGATATCCACGCCACGCGTATGTGTATCGCTTTGCCTAATAATATGGGTGTTTTTAAGTTACAAAAATTAATTAATATATTAAATTACATGATAAAATTTACTAATGAATATTATTTCAAAAATTAAAACTTTATCTTTACTTTTGAAAAGAAATTCCAATAAAAATTCTTATTTTAATATTTACCCGTTTTTCAGTACTTTTTTCCATTTAAAGATTTATTTTAATAGTTTCCAATTAAAATGAATTAAACTGCCTTATTTAAAATTGCCAGCCTCCATAAATGAAATCTGTGGGAGAATCTGTGTGACAACAGCCAATTTTCGTTTTCATTTGTCTAAGTAAGAGAAATTTCAAGCCATATTATATATTTTCCCAACCCTGCGCGCTGCACTTTTAACGACTTCCTTTTCCACTTTAAGGCTGATTTGGCGTCCTTGCCGGCGCAATTGCGATTAATTACGGGCTGTGAGAACACAATCGGCGCTTCCATTGTGCCGACACGCAACATTATTAAACGAGTCGCTCATTTGATAAAGACCACAATTTCCATTTTGTTATGACGCCGACTCTGATACATAGACATGATGTGTGCGCATTTTTATTTTCGCCTGTTTCTTGCGACACAAGCGATTTTCCTGTGAGAGAACTCTGAAGATATTTTTGCGTGAAACGAGTGAGATTATTTTTATAAACGTATGAGATGATGATGTTGTTGTTTTGTTGGGAGTCTCGCAGTCTCACACTTGACTGGATAATTACTCTGCTGCAATTGCATCGCGCAGAACGCCAAGGGAGTGCTACGAGGATTAAAACAAGAGAATGGCATTGTTCGCCAACTCCAGCAGCGATGCAAATTCATATAAATCTTGTAAGATTGCGAAACTTGAGCTGAGAAACCATGGCAAAAATTTACCGAAAGAATTGAAGTTTTTTTCCATTTCATAAGATCTTTCTTATTTAAAAATTCAAAACAAATCAATCAATTTTATTAAAATATTTAATCAATTTGAATTGTAATAAAATATAATAACAATTTTTAAATTTAACGAAATGTAAAGAAAAAGCAGGAAATTTAAACTGACTTCCTTCAATATAAAGAACAAGTTGTGCATGAAAGTTGAATCGGATAATTTAATTCAAAAGAGCTTCTCCTCTCTGATTATTTGTCCATCAGAAGAGCAGGTGTTTTGTTTCTTTTTTTTTTTCGAGGGAAAGCTCACCGGTCCAGCAGCGGAGTCTGCGTCGGTCTCATCTCCTTTCGGCTCTCCTCAGGCGGAGTGAAAAGCACGCGCACAATTCGTACAAAAAAAGTGGGTTACTCTACTCGAAACTCGAGATGTGATAATCGCGGCCAGACTGGCGACGCCTCTCACAGCTCCATTCAGGTGAATCGCGCGCCTTTTTTCTCCGAACATCCAAACAGAGAGCCCGTTTATATAAATCTCACCTGCCCTGCGTTTATTCGAGAAAAAGCAGGATTGGCCGCGCTTTTGTTTCACTTTTCAATCTACAAGCGTGTTTCGAGATTTCATTGTAGCTTTCTTTGTGGGAAAGCTATATTTTGACGACAAAATAGGACTGATGTGGATTGACACATGCACAGGTGTGACTTTTCACGACCATAATAATGTCCTTTTGTGTATACAAACTTCAGAGAAAAGTCAAATTTACTTTGGTTCCTTTTGCTAGATTTCTCTTCATTTTTTTTCCCAGTAAAACTAGGAAATTTCGCCAAATTATATACTTTTAATAAATTTAAATAAATAAAAAGTTTGTAACTATGATAAATAAAGTTTTAAAAAGAACATGAAGATTTATAGAAAATAAATAAATAAAAAATATTGTTTATTACAATTTTGTATATATTTAAATTTTTTTCATTAATCTCCATTTGATATTGTTAATAAACCTATTTTTAATCTGTAAATATTTGTGGTGTTTTAATTAATCGCAAATTAAGGCGTTATATATATTTTATTTGCCATGCTGAACCTTTTATTGCGATCCGAGATCCGATTGCTGCCCGTTGACGTGCAAATAGAACACGTCGCTCTTTTATTTTCCTCTTTCCGCTCCAATATCTCGTGAAATGAAACGACCTGCTCGGTGTGCTGTGTCTGCAGTTCAAAAAAGAGAATATCGCGAATAAAGCGAAGTGACTGCTGCTTTTTCATTTATAATAATCAATTATTTCAGCTTTGAACAATCGCTTCTGAATTAGAACGGCAATTAAAGCGTTTCCAATTAGAGAGAGACAAGCTTTCCTCGTACTTTTTAATTGTTTCTACCTTTCCTGTCTGTCGAAACTTGCATTTTTTTAATTTAATTGAATAAATCTAAGAGCATTAATTTTGCTTGAAGTTTAAATTATCAAAATCAATCATTTGTAAATTTAAGAGTTTTAAAATTGAAGGTTAAATGCCGGATAAGAATTTAAAGAATTTTGAATGTTTAACATTGAAACCAGGGCATTTTTTTAAGCCATATCATTTCAAACTTCCTTTCCATAAAGGTGGTCTCCTTTTTTTACTGTGGCGCACTCGCGGTGGTACATTGGATGCAACAAAACACCCGCATAACTCGGTCGTTTCCTCGCTAGCTGATACACCGCATTTTTTTCTTTAAACCCCGGCTGGATGAGCGAACGTGCACATAATGTGGATCAGGTGTCCGCGCTGACACAGCCCATTCAGCCCTGCAGGGTGGATAGGATGGGACGAGAAGCCTTTGAGCTGTGACCGGATCGCGCTCATCAGGCGGCTCATCAGCATGCATCCTCTCTTTGCATCCGAATGCACATTATGACAACATGTTTGGCAAATATTTGCGCTTGACTCGGTCAGCACTCCCCACGTAATGAACATCAAATAATGCTACACATGTATCATGTTTGTGCCAGCAGAGATTTTAAATGAAAAATTGATTTTTTTTTTATATTTTAAAGTAAAATTTGATTTTGAAATGAGAGAAGAAAGTGCCAAAATTATTCAAGGAAATTTTGAATTATATATAAAATTTTGTAATTATTTATTATCCGGAATTTTTATTTTATCATTTTGTTACATTTAAAAAGCAGGCTCACATAAAAACGTTTCTGCTTCTAGAAACACTTCTTCTTTGCGCTCCAAGAAATTAATCCTCTCTTCACAGTCAGTGGCTCTGCACAGATCTGAACAGATATAAAAAAACTTCCTTCTTAGCCTACCAACTGTTCTTAATCTTTTTGCATCAGAAAAGAAGGCTTTTCCAAAATTTTGTAACATTTTTTTGTCTCAACTCTCGCAAATACGGTTGCCAATTGAAGCAAGAAAACTCATCGTTTGGCGGCGAACATGTTTTATTACATAACAGAAAAGCCCCGCGTCAAACGGCGGAGAACTCGGAGAGCATGAAATTATCAGTTTCCGGCACGATCTCCAGAAAGTACAGCACGCATAAATTCGCTTCTTTTTCTTGTGACACGTGTATTAAGCTCCCATCGAGAGCCAAAACAATAAAGTCGAATGAGCAACTCCTCCTTCGCGTGCACATTCGAAAATATACAAATCGAGAGGAACCAAGTCTTGTTCGCCCGCGCCGCCTTTTCCGTTTGCCTCTCTCATCCTTCATGCCTCATTAAACTGGAGAACAATGAAATTGCCTCCTCTCTTCTTAAATAATTTGGTTCAATCAGAGTGGGGCTTAGGCGAGTAGATTAGCAGTTTGGATGCGATTCGGATTCAAATGAGGCGTTGTTTACGACTCGAAAAATATTATAATGCTGGAGTCACTCCAGAGAGAGAGAAATCGCCTTGAGCGAACTTTTGTCTTGAATGTGAATGGGGATTATGAAATTATGACACCTTCGACCTATTTTATACCTTTAGCTGGCATAATAATCTTAATTAAACAAAAAATGCAAATCTTTTTTGCTTTTTTAAAATAATACTTATTTATAAATGCTGATTTTGAAAATTAACAGTCTTGTATAAAGTCAAAATTTTATTTAGAAAGTGTCAAAAATTATGCTTCATAAATTTGACTATAAATTGAGAGAGGAAGAAATAAACTAAAATGAGTTTGTCGGACATCATTGAAAATTAATCTCATTTTTTTTCTCAAATTATCAAGGCGAAATGTGGAAGCTTTTTTATTTTGTGTTTCTTTATATCAAATAATTAGTAATAGTAACAGATTTTTTGTAAAGTAAAAATCGTAAAAAATATTAATCTTCTTATTTTTTATGATTTGATGAGTTACAATTCAATTTAATTTGTTTTTAATAATTGAACCTTTTTAAAATAAAGGAAATAAGCGGAAATAAGCAATAATTTAACTTTCACCTCAAATTAAACGCCTTCGCAAATCAGTAATCCTTCAACAAACAGTTGACTTTGAGCCTCAGTTGATGATGTTTGATTGGTGTGTGAGCAACTGCGAGACGGCTGGAAATTATTATTTGCACACCTCTCATGTTTGACATCGGCTCGGTGTGTGTGTGCCCAGATTTTCAATCGGCGTCTCTGCTCACGTCGTGCATTTCTAATCGGGCGTGCCCAATCCAAGGTCTTTTCGATTTCGAGCTGCACAATTTCCTTTATTTGCGCCATTTTTTTTTATTCGGCGCTGCACAATCAGAGCGCAATAAATCCTGAGAGGTTATTTGAGGCTAGCTCGAAATAATGGGGAAGTGACACCGCAAAAGGACCCTTGCTGGGGCAATATCATATGTAATTATAATGAAAAACGCGGCTCCAGCCAGCAGAGCGATGAAACTGCTAAGTAAAATCGAGTCAATAACCTAGCCACCGACCCAGTAGCTAAATGAGTGAGCTCAGCGCACCTGTCTTAAAAAAGAATAAGGAGATATGCCGAGATCAACATCAAAATAAGGAATGAAACTTCTCTGCAGAGTTCATGAAGGAATTTTAATTAGCATTAAATTTAGCTAAAAAAAAGTGAATACTTTTTGCTCAGTGACTCATGTTTTGTGGTCGAATTTACATTTTTACTTTTAATAACAAAATTGTTTGGTGAAATTCAGTAATATGCAATATTTCCTTAAATCACCGTAATCTTTGTATTTGGGTGAAAATTTATTTCTTTATCTTTTTCCTTTTTTTTTTTTAATTTGGAAAACATTTTAATTAAAGAGATTTTAAAAATTATATATCAATGAAACCATTTTGTTCCCTGCAAAGGAGTACTTTAATATATATCATAATTGTAAGTACAAAAATGAAAATATTAAGTTTTGTCTGATTTGATTGTATCAGAAGATTCTCTTTGAATTTTTAAAACAGCGAAAAACATGATTTTTTTTCTCCAGATAAATAACAATAAACAAGTGTATCAAGTTAACTGAACAGTCAAAATAAATCTCTTTTAATTAACATCCATTTTTAATTTTAAGTGTCACTTATTCAGATTTGTTTTGGCAAATTATAGTCAGGATAATCAACAAACAGTTTAATTAAACAGTCAAATAGCAACTACTGCAGCAAATCCGCTCTCTTTCCTCCTTCCTTAGCAGTCAACTATAATTTCTCTCCGTGTCTGTACAAAATAAATCTCACCTGCGTCGCCATGAAAAGTATCTAAAAGTGAATCAGAAATCACTTCTTGAAATGCTGTTGATGTGCAAGAACTTAAAACCCTAAAACAATAAATCCGTTCACAATTTAGATTTTTTTATCGTAATTCAACTAAAGCGTGGGAGGTCTGCTCAAATAAAATTCCAACCGAATAAAAGCAGCCGATTTAAAAGTTTACAGAGAAAGAAAAAAGAACTCCTCTCACTGCAGTTGAAAAGAATAATGCTGATCGCAATAATAGATTTGGTGAGAAAGTTTGCGGATCAGTTCGCACGTTCAATAGCTGCAAATCCAGCCTCTCGGTGCAATGAGAATTTTCATTCTTTCGCCACAATCTCGCGGTGAACATTCGTCGAAACGTTGTTTTGCATGGCTTGGCGGCGAAAAGTGACCCAATGACCGTCATCCCGAATCTGGAGCAGCCAAAATAATTACCAGCAACTTGTTTTTGAATGACAAAAAATACAACAACGTTGTATTTGTGCGGCAACTTCAGAGAGAAAGACCGCCTCGGGCCTGAATCGGTAATGAGACGCTCTCTCGAAACAAACTTTTCGTTTATTAGTAAACAAAAAAAAACTGCTCTAAGTCCATTATCTCTAGCAACATAGCGTTCGGCTCATTAAAATTAAAATTTTCATTCAAAAAGTTATGTAAGAGACAAAAAACTAAAGGCGCAATGAAGCAAAACAAAAATATGATAACTTCAGTCGAATTTTAATTAATAATCAATACAGAGGCAAAAATTCAATGTTAAAATAATTTTTTGTTAAATTTATAATTATTATTTTTATTCTTTATTCTTCACGAATCAATCAAGGAGAAAGTAAAAAATGTAAGTTTATAAATAATTAATTAACAAATCATTTTGTATTCCTCACAGAAATTCATTGAATTTTAAATAAAAAAAATTGAATATTTCAATATTTAAAATTAATTGTAATTTTGCTATTTTTTTTTTATTATTTGAAAATTATCTTATTTTCCAGCTTTGAATTGTATTTTTTAATTTCTTTATTTTAATTGTTTTCTGCAGCTTTCGTAAATCTATACCCCGCAGACTGACGTGCACGTGAGCGGAAGATTTTAATTGTAACCCAAGAAGCACGCCGCTTTTGTCGTGCATGTCTTTTCGCAATTCTTCTTCGCCTTTTTTTGTGTCAAACCGTCTGCGAGCAGTTGGCTGAACGAGACGCATTGTTTCTCATCCCAGGAGCGGAAAATGTGACAAAAAGCAAAACACGACTGCGATAATTGGTAACCAATTCACGGCTCATTTGCATCGCCTTTTGTTTTACAAACCCACAATGGCGCACGCAGAGAGAAAATTAATCATTGAATTTGTCAATTGATTCTCTGTCGCAATTGCTTGCGTCATTATATGGGCATTTCACCGTTCGATCTCATTATGCTAATTGCAATTAGCGGAGATCGTTGTTGATCTCTAGAGGAGTGTGAAAATCGCGCGGCTGCAGCTCTCTCAATTGTGTGATTATTCCGAACATCGCACTGTGAAATCTGATTTTGCTTGATGCGCTCATGCCGCGTAATAATGAACACAACTGGTATGATATTATTAAATGCCAACTTGTTTGCAAATCAAAACAATTAATTATACACGCTTGGAGACGCCACACGCTGCGTCTGATAAATTAACTTGTACTATTGCATTTCAGGTCACTAATTATTATTATTACGAGTTCAAGAGAAACATAAAATATTAATTAAATTCAAATTTTTATGATCTGAATTGCAACAATGTTTAAAGAAACATACAAAATTTGAAGTAAATAATGAACAAAAATGTATGTGTAGTTGAAGTTTAAAACAATTAAACCGTAAATTATTTTAAACTTCAACTATTTATATTTAGAAATAGAAATACAAAATTAGAAAATAATTAGAGTTATAAGTTATATTTGTAATACTACACTATGATTTAAAATTAAAGTGGTGCAATAATAATAGTATAATAATTAATTAATAAAAATAATAATAATAAAAACAAACTTTTAATGTATTTTATAAACAAAAATCACACTCAAACTATCCAATCTCTACAAGTACTTTCTGTATTTTTGTTTTGACACTCAATATAGGTTTAATTTTTTTATTTTTCTATAAGCAAGCAATATCTTTCAACTAAAAAAAAAAAACAATAAATACAAACCTTGAGAAAATTAAATTCTTTTACTTCCCATTGCGCAATTAATTAATTGCACCGTTGCAAGCTTGCAACTTAATTGTGACCCGATTCCCAATGGCCCATATCTTGATGGTTGCCTTGATTTTTCCCATCCGCACACCTGTCCGCGCCGAGGTTGTCTCTCTCGGCGGAACCGTTTCGAAATGTGAGGGGTCGATCGGCCGCAAACGAACCCCACCGCATTTGATAACGTTTGGTAGGAAAAAAACTCGCACAGGAGCCACGCTTGGTTAATTCGAGTGTCGGGAGGAAGCGCCATCACAAAAGCATCTCATCGTTAGTTGTTATATTTCTTTCCGAGAGAAACAATGCGCGTCTTTTTCTTCGGCGGGAGGGGCGGCAAATCGCAGTTTTCAAGAGGGGAATTTCCTTGCTTCAATTAAACACCTGCTTGCTTTTGTACAATTTGTTTAACGAAAATCTGTAATGGCAAGTATAATTAATTCCGAGTTCTTTTGATTAATTTTGTTAAATTGGGATTATTTTTCTATTTTTAGCTGAATCTTAAAATAATTTATCTTCAAGCATAAATATTTGTAGTTTATTTTTATTCTGAAAAATGCAGCTATTAATTTATTCTGGTTTTTATCTAATCAATATTTGGAGTCAATAAACCTGATTAAGCCCATAAATATGTTTTTTTTTATCTTTGGAAGAAAATCAAATATTATGATTTCAAAATTGAGGTGCGATTCTGCTGATATGACGCAAGCATATTAGTTTAGTGATAAAAATCGCAGTTCTTTTTTGGTGTGAAAAGAAACAGGTGCCTCGGTAAAGCCGGAAACTGCCTGCGGAGTGAGCGGATTACTTTTGGCCAAAACCGTTACATGTTTTCAAAAAGCAACTAACAATAAATAAGTAAGTGTCAAATTTTTCTTTGCAGCGACAAAACTAACAAGTTGATAAGAAAAACAAAGGAATTTTCTCGAGTGACCCATTTTTGGTGTGAATAAAAATGAGTCATTCTTGCCTGGAAGAATGAAAAATCAATCGGGCTGATTTTTATCGATTCGAGCACCACTTTTGAGCAAAGGACCCTCTTTTCAGTTTTGAAACCTTCAAAGTCGAGCGTTTGATGTTTGATTCTCACCTCTGACGAGAGTTGAGCACGCAGAAGTCGTTTGAGAGTAAAAAATTAATGCAACCTGTTTCCTCACTCGCCGCACAAACGAAATTTACGATTTCTCGAAGTGACGAGATCTGATTGGTTTTTGCGTGATAAATAAATGTAAGCTGGATATTCATTCGCCGTGCAGGAAATGCGTCTGCATTCGCAAATTATATCCAGACAGGATTGAGAGGAAAAGGGTATTTTAGAACTTCTCTTGCTTTCGCCGGCAAAAATATAACTGCCGGCAGTAAAAACTTGATGCGTTTCAAAAAGGAATTCCGAGTGCTGCTGAACTCGTTTTCTTTATTAACTCGAGAAAGATCGAAAATATTTTTATTGAAAGAACATACTGTGGTTAAAAATTTTAGTGTTTTTATGTAATAAATTTTGGTTGAAAGTTGAAAACAAATTATTAACACACTAAATTTGGATTATTATCAAAACGGTGCTAAATTTTAAAATTGTTAATGATTTTGTTATAATTCACATTTTAAAAATAATTTTGACAGTGGTTCTGTTTGAATTGAATCAAGCTTAATTAAAAAGATAACCTCTTTTTGAACTTTTTCACTCACAAAAAGACTTTTTATAGACTCTTGAACTTAAGTTTTGTTAAATAGTTTATTTGGGAAAGTTCTTACAATCACTTATTCGGACATTTCAGTCGCAAAATTTTAGTTTTATTGGTTTCTATAATAATATGGAATGGAATGTTTATTAAACACCGTAGGCGTACAACATTAATAATATAAAATAATATAAAAATTCAATAAAGCGAGAAACAAGAGATTAAAGCAATAGAGACAGATGACAGTTTATTATTTTGATTTTAAGTATTATGTGTTTAATTAAGCGTTGATTTGAGCAAGTTTACATTTTTTTTGGACAATTGACTAAAGCATCAGTTCTGCTCTTTATTTAAAGAATTTATCGATAGCACAGATTTTTAAGATTATGACGTTTTCTGTGACTAGAAGGACAGGCCAAATGATCGTCCACGGATGAACACTGGATGACTTTTCTGCAGCAACTTTGGTTTTAGTTGTAGTTGTGCAGTTACACGGACACGTAACGTTGCATTTTTTCGTCACTGCGAACAAAAAAAATCAGAAATTCGCAGGAAATAAGATATTGCATGCATTCTGCAATTTTGTTTGTCATTAAATGACATCAAATAGGAGTCACTACTTTTTATATTAATATTAAAATTTTAAAACATCATTTTTTGATCAATCAACTTTCCTGTCAATTTTTTTTACATTTATAATGAACTGTTATTAATATTTATTATTATTTGTTTAAATTCCCTTGAAAAATTTTAAAATATAAACAAGTTTTTAATCTTTTTTATTTTGAAACTCGTGTGATTTGATTCACTAAATAATTTTTTTGTTAAAATGCTTCATAAATAACCGAGTTTATTTCCATTAACTGGAATAATTGATAATTTGGAAGTGTTTTTTATAATATTTAATCTTAAAATACCAAAAAAGGAGAAGAAGAGTAAAAAAGAAAAAGAAACGTACCAATCTCGAAATTTTGTATCAGAGTTGCTGACGGGGTGGTCGAGTTGGATTCTGGAATAGATTTTAGTGTTGCAGTTGTTTCACCTTTTTCCTTCCGATTGTTGATGTTTTCCACGTCAAGTGTCTGCGTGGAGGTGTTAGTGGCTTTTGGAGTTTCAATTTTGAAAAATATTTTGAAAACCAAATAAATTTGTACGCACCGTCGGCACTGCAGGCGATGAAAAACGCCAAGAGGAAAACTGTTGCGATTTCGATTTTTAACATTGTGCTGCAGGAGCTTCCCTTTCAAGGAAGAAGAAACGAGCAACTGCTTCGACCGAAGTTGAAATAAACTACAAGAGGGTGATTAAAATTATCAGAGAGCCTTTCAAACAGGATATTGTTTTTTTTCTATTGTGGTTTTGCTAACAAAAATTAAAGCGTCACCAAAGTTATCAATTGGCGACATTTTGAGCTGTGGAAAAACACACAGATTAAACTCGGACTCCTTTGTTACAATAATAAACAAGAGGAAAAATGCACAAACAGCACAATTTTCAAATACCGCAGAGCAGATTACTTTTATTAAATAATTATTTTAATTGTAAGAAGAAATTTCCATTATAAATTTGCAATAATTGTCTTAAAAACTCCGCATATATTTTTTTATCCGAACTTTTATTCATTATAATTTTGTGATAAATTTCAGGAAGTGTGATAAAATGTAAAATTCCAGCTAAAAATAGTTATTGAATCGTTGAAAATGTCAAGAATACATTTTTTCGAATCTTTTTCTTCAAAATGAATATTCCTCGGACTTTATTCCTGCTGCAATTTTGGACCAAGAAATTCAGCTTTTATAATTAAAAAGAAATTTTTATTTGCACCAGTAAATTATGAAATGAATGAATTGAAGAACAAACGTCACTAGCGTCTCTATTTTATAATACAATTGTGCGGTTTCGAAAGAGTAGAAAACGTGTTTGTTCTATTTACGTAGAACGCGATAACCTGCGCGCGGGCATTGCATAGGAATTGCGCACACACACCGGACGCCAAAGTAGTTTTGCTTCTGTGTGTGTATTTTTCCAGTCGAGTGAGCGCCGGCACTTAAAAAAACACTCGCCGATTCCGCGGGGGGACTCAATTAAAGCCAAGCCGAGAGTCGCCTTTTACTTCCTGTGCTCGAACACATTAATGTGTATTTATAAATTTATAATATGCAATTAGCAGCAGAAGTGACGCAAATTAAAAAAAAAAATTGTCAACGCTTTAGCAATGCCGTCTTTTTTCAAAGCTGCTGATAATCCCAATTAAATTTGTAAAAAAATTTATTAATGCTATTTCAGTTTACATATTTATAAATTTGTTAGCACAAATTAATAAAAATAAAATAATTTTTAGCTTCAAATATAATTTTTTACCTTCTACCTTTCATATGAGTTTTTTGAACTTTTATGGTTGGAAATTCTTTGATAATCATGCGGCGTTGAGGAAATAATCGAGCGATCATCGGCAAATTGTGATGGAAGAATTGGCATTTGCTTTGGGCGTCGCGTGAGAAATCCATTTTGGCACGCCTTTCTCTCGGCCAAACGTTTTTGCGAATAATGTAGGAGCCGTGAAATTGTTCTCGCAAGCGCTTTTTGCGACATTCGCTCACCACAAAGCTTGTCCAGCTTTACAGATAAATTCACTCACCTGCAGAGCGAACACTTTCAGCCTAAATACAAAAGAGTTGTACATTTCACAGAACGCGTTTTTAAAAATTTAAATAGAATGTTAAAAAACCAGCTTTTTGTGCTAAGTTAAGTGCGATTTTATTGAAACATTTATTCATATGTATTTATACAATATTGAGAATTAAATTCATTTAAAGTTTTTGTTTTTCTAAATATTCCAAATTTACCAAAATAAAACCGAGGGAAAACAGGAAATTCAAATTGACTGAGCAAATAATTAAATATTGACTTATTTATCAAAGAGAGCTCAACAATTGTTTGAACCAAATTATGTATCTCGCTTTCTGTGCTTGTGTATTTATGCAATAAAATTTAGGCTTAAATTCCAAGCACGCCGACTTGCTTATCATATCTTATCTTCCTTCCTAGTCTCTCAAGTACACACGTCGAGGGTTCCGTGTTGTATTTGCATACGAATGCATTCATTCGAGAGCTGCTTCGTAAGAAAAAAAATATTTAATGTATGCATTCGTTGCTAACAACGTTGGCTGGGAAAATTTGTCTGTCTTATCTGGAATGAGAGAGAATGAGAAGAATGAACGTTTCTTATAAAATAAGTTGTTTGTGATGTCAGATTTTGACATAATTTAGCTCAAATTTAAATTAGTATTTCAAATATTGACCTGGATTAATCACTATTTTTTTATAAAAATAAAATTACATAAAAATGGGTTTAAAAAAAGATTGGCTAATTATTATTACCGAATTTTGAATGAGAAAAGCCGTTTTTGATTAAAATAAATGTTACAATTCCAGTTTATTTTTTAATTAGTTTGTTTATAAAATCAAAGATTTTAATTTATATTTTTTTTAAACATTAATGACGGCTTTGATATTCATACAATTTTGACGAGAAAGTTTATTTTCCTTGCATAAAAAATATACTTAATATTCCTTTTGAAACTATTGTAAAACGGATAAAGTAATAAAAAAAAGATTAATTTACTTAATAAATTTAAATAAAATTTTACAAAATAATATCAAATTATATAAAAATAAAATTTTCAAGAAATAGTAGCAAGATGTTATTAACTCATTCCCAAAAATAATTCAGTAATTTAGGAGCAAAAAAATTTATTTTCACCAGACTATAAAAACATGGAATAACATAATCAAAACGTTGACGCGTGCACGAAAAACAAATTATCTCTGCAATTTGGTCGCCTTTTAATTTGCGTTGTCTGCCAAAACATTTATTTCCCCCCGGAACCAATCTCGGTGGGCAACCCCTATTAAATTTACGACAGCGCCAAACTTTTTGGTTTTTCCCTTGCTTGTTTTCGGTCACGACATGCGTCTCTCTTTTGAAGCAAAACGAATTCTTTCCACGGCGCCCCTGCACGACACACACACACCGAATAAAATTCCATGCACACATTTCATCTCGCGTGCCGCGATTAAATTATTGCTCTCCGTGAGATGCATTCGTGGCTTTTGTACAAGGGTGGGTGGTGCATGCGCTGGCGGAAGAATTTTTTTAAAAGTTGTGCAAAGTCGCGCTAGGACACACAAGACACAGACCGAAGAAGAAAAGGGGCTGCTTCTGTGCCTGGCACAAGAGCGAGGGGTTCTCTGGAACATCCCGATTGTTTGTTTTCATTAATTCTTTTTTAAGTCTTTTTTATATAAAAAAATTGAATTTTCTTTATTGGAAAATTGCAAATAATCGTTCAATAATTTTATTTGAGTTTTTTATTGATATATTAATCCATGGGGCGCTTTACGGGTATGAGCATTTCTTGATTTTATGATTTTTTTAATATTTTAAAAATAAATTATATCTGCGAGAATCAAACGGTTGTATCGAGTAAAAAACCAAATTTTTCAGCTAATTTGAAGGAATTTTATCCATATATTAATCCATGGGGCTCTTCACGGGTATGAGCATTTCTTGATTTTACGATTTTTTTAATATTTTAGAAATAAATTATATCTGAGAATCAAACGGTTGTATCGAGTAAAAAACCAAATTTTTCAGCTAATTTGACGGATTTTTATCCATATATTAATCCATGGGGCTCTTCACGGGTATGAGCATTTCTTGATTTTACGATTTTTTTAATATTTTAAAAATAAATTATATCTGAGAATCAAACGGTTGTATCGAGTAAAAAACCAAAATTTTCAGCTAATTTGAAGGATTTTTATCCATATATTAATCCATGGGGCTCTTCACGGGTATGAGCATTTCTTGATTTTACGATTTTTTTAATATTTTAGAAATAAATTATATCTGAGAATCAAACGGTTGTATCGAGTAAAAAACCAAATCTTTCAGCTAATTTGAAGTTTTTAATCTTAATTAGGGGAGATGTTGTGGGTAATTTTTTTTTAAATTGAAGATCTTATTGAAATATTAAAATTAATTGTTGCAACAAGGGTGGTTGAAATTTCTAATTATGGCGAAAATTGGTTTTTATTGTTGTTAATTGAATAATGAGGGCCAAGGAGGCCTTAAAATTATTAAAGAAAATATTTACTCCATATTATTTATTTATTTATCTCTTATGTTTTTTTTTTAAAGCTACTATATTGATCAAAATCTATTTTGGCAGTAATGGTAGGAAGTGTATTTTGTTTTAAAATTTAATTAAAATTTCTTCCACTAAATGCAAAATAAAATTACAGAAAATAAATCAATTGAATAAAATGAAATTAATTTTGAAAAAGGCGCCGAATCAATATTAAAGTATGGCTGAAAACAAGACAGCTCTAAATTTGTTCTCCAGAAATCGATCCAGGGAAAAACTGCTTTGATCATTTTGAAGCAGCTTGTAAGAAGAATTCCACGTCTGGCTGTTATAATTGGATGTAATTTAAAGGACAAAATTTAATTTCGGACGAATTCATATTTCATTTCAAATTTTCATATCTAAAAAAATTTAATAAAAACCGTACAATATTCTTTCCTTTGTATACAATTTTATTGTTCAGTAATTCAAGTTTCTATTTTCCATTTCCAATTTGTTAAAAATATAACAATTTTATTTTATTTCCATTCAAAATTGAATTTTTTTTACGCAGTTTAATTAAAAACCAAAGATTTGGAACTGATTTTGAGTTAAAACTTTTTGATGACCGGAAAAGCGTCGGCGTGATTTCCCGATTAGTGCTTTCCGACTTTAATGGTGTCAGACACGGCACGCATCGACTGATAATAATAAAACACTTTGCAATCAAATCAACCCCTCCGAAGAGTTGCATGTCAGATAGTCTGCTCGGTCGGTCCGTGTCCCCCACTTTCCCCCACACCGACTTCCTCTCTCAATTTTCGAGCGCTCTTTTGCTTTGGTTAGTTGGTTTGTTAGTCGCAAACCAACCTTTGTGCGCCGCACTTGTCAAGCCCCAGAGAGTTTTGTGTTTTTTTTCGCCGGTAAAAACACATCCGATTGCACGCGGTGTCATTCGGGGAAAGCGACATGCGATGGCCGCCGACGAAAATTGCTGTGCGCCGCTTTTCCCCACGGGACTTCTCCGCCGACCGCGATAATTTGACTTGTGATAAGTGAATTTCAAAGTGCAAGAAACGGTAAATTTTGTGTTCTTTTTTTCACGTGGGAGAGCAAAATTATAACTGAAAATATTTATTTAAAAAAATTAGGGATAAATAATTTTCATTTTTAAATTTATCCCTTTATTTTTGGAAAACAATAAATGACTTTTATCATTTAGATATTTTTAGAGTTAATATTTCTGCTTCCGTTTGTAACCAGTTGATTTTTTCTAAATTAATTTTAATATCCTCTGATGTGCTCAAATTAATCGCAAAATTTAAAAAAAAAATTGATAAGAATTTTACTAATTATTATTGTTGTTTGTATATTCAAGTGTTGATAACAATTTGTTTGAGAAGAAGAAATTTTTGGACAAAACCGACACTACCGCTAGCAAGAATTTTGCTAAAATTTTAGAGAAACAAAAATTATTCGTTATTTTGGGTAATTATAGAGTTAAATTTCTGTTTCAGTTTGTTAAAAATTCTTATTTTTTCAAAATTTTAATTGGTTTTATAAAACATGGAAACTTTCCCGTAAACACAGAATTCCAGAAGCATTCTACTAATTTTATTCTTTAAAATTTATTCAATTGCATTTTTTTCTTCATTTATTTAATTTTGCTTTCCAATGCTCACAAATTCTCATGGTATTGAAAGCGTTAGAATCAGCAAGCGTGTGTTTAAGTGTTTTTCATTAGTCATGCAGGTATACAGTAGACTTTTCACTTTTGCGGTTCTTTGTGTCAGAACAAAAAAAAGTGGTTTGTTGTGAAAAAATTCATTGAGCCCAATTTAAACCGCAAAAATTTCATTCAAAGAAATTTATCTAATAATTTCCCTTTTCTTTTTCATTTTATCACTTTTTTTGCGATAATTAAATCGTTTAATTGCGCATTAAGTAATTTGATATTGAGTTGAAACCGCTGGAAAGTATAATTTCTTCTTGGGCGCAAACTGTGAAGCTGTCTCGTTTGACCACAAATACCCTCAGAGGCGGCGGCTTCGCTCTTTTCTAAATAAACAAACGATTAGTAAAGTGACAGGAGCGGCGAGAAAAAGAAATATACGTTTGGTACACGCGGTTTATTTTGCTTCCAGATAGAAAGGATAAACTCGACGCACCTGCTGCATTTAAAGCTCAATTTCTCATCGAGATTTACAACATCCTGAATAAATAGATCAACCGGAAACTCCCAAAATAATGAGCGACGATTTTAATCAAATAGCGAATTGGTTTCAAACTTTGTAATCATTTAATAGGGAGGAGTGAAATTTTCAAATATAGATTTTAAAATAAAAATGGAATTTTTTATTTTGTTGAAGTTGGAAATTCTGTAAATTTAATCAAACCTTCAGCTGGTATTGCATTTCTATTGAGTATGACGGTACGAACTTTTGATTCAATTAAATAGTTGTACACACGCTTCGAAGTCTTAATCAAATCAGCGTCCTGAATGTGGAGCAAACTTTGCGTTTAATCAAAACGATGATGCACCGATGGAATGGTAGTGGCGCGTGTACAGAGGTTGCAAACAAATTACTCCGCTAATTATCGCAAACAACGAGATGCAAATTCTGATTTAATAAGCGCTCTGGAAGTTTCTCGAGGCAAATATTCCAATATCGAATGATGCACTTCGGAGAATAGTCTCTTTTGCATAATTCTATTTTCTATTCGAGGCACTTTGACTCGATATTACAGTGGCTTGTGCGGTCGATCGATCCGGTGGGGTTGAATTATTATTGCGTTGTGGCGACTCCCGCACGTTGAGGTTTCAGACGATCGCGCGCATAATGCGAATTCGGTCGGGTGCAAATTGGATTTTAAGTTATGAGAGCTCGCGTCTGTAACGGAGCAAAGTTTTGCGTAGAATTTCTTGTTGAAATGTGTGAGAGGCTGTCTTTAATAGTTTAAAAGTTTTCTTTGCAAATTGACTTGGTTTCCTTTGAATTCTTATATTGAAATAGAAATTTAATTTTTAAATATTTCTTGAAGATTCATTGTTTTTTAATATTACTATTGTTGTTCATATATGTATGATTTTTACATAACTAACATTGTTTACATTCATTTTTTTAAACAATTTGAGAGTTAAAACACCACACATGTAGAGTAATTTCATAAATAATTAAATCAAATTTATTGATCAATTTATCACATTTATTTTGATAGTTCAAAGTTGAAAGAGAGTCTGAAGCATGATTTTTTTTTTTTTGTTAACTTTTAGACAGAATATACCTGCCGAGTCTCACGCTCGCAGCAATTTGACGGCGTTTCACGCATTTTATCAGCCACTTCCGGCCAACCTGGCCCGGCGCATTACAATCAAAACTCCTTCTTTTTTTTCTCCTTTTCCCACGGAAATCTAATCGTCATCTCTGTATGTCCGCAGGAATGAAGGAGGAGGCGCTTTCGTGCGGCGACGCCAAGGACGGCGTCCTGCTGCGCAACCTGCGCTGCCTGGTGCCGTCGGCCGCGGATGGCTCGCCGCCGCCGTGTCCGCCGCCGTCTTCAAACTGCAGCTCGGCCGCCTCTTCACCCAGACCGTCTGAATCACCCGAGCCTGCGCCCAAAAAGCAAGACAACAATGAAACAGAAAGCGACAGCGGCCACAGCAGCAACGGCGAGTGTCCGGACACCAACAACCAAGACGGTTGTCCGGATCTGTTCGGAGTGATTGACAAAATCGCCACCGTTCTTGACGCCAAGTGTCCCGAGATATCCCAAAAGTGTCCAGATGAGTTTTTGGATGTAATTTACGACAGACCGGAGCGTCCGGAGCCGGCCGAACAGAACCTGATGGACTTTTTCCTGCAGTCGGACAGCGAGTCGGACGAAGCGGACAGCCAAAGACCCGTTTCGCGGCTGCACTTCATCGACGAGGAGGATGAGGAGGAGGAGGAGGAGGAGGAGGAGGAGGAGCAGTGCAGTCTGCTGGACATCGTCGGCGAGGTGGACTCGGACGGGGGTTCGGAGGCGTCGGTGGTGCTGCGCGCGCCCCTGGCGGCGGCCGAGGCAGACGAGGGTGCGCAGAAGCCAGCGGGGTCGATAATCGAGGAGAGCCCGAGTAGTCCGGCGGTGCGAGTGGAGCAGAGCACCTCCGCCGCTGCTGCTGCTGCTGCTGCCAGTCCAATGAGGCAGAAGGACTCGGACGGCGGCAAGGACGGCGGGGGCGGCAACAACAACCATGGCCCGTGCACGGAGGCGTGCGTGGCCTCCGAGTGCTGCTGGAACGACGAGTGCCTCGAGCGCGGCAGGCCCAAGTCCATCATCAGGAAGACGCCGGGACACGCGTCCGGACACAAGCGGCGCGTCACCTTCAACGAGAACTGCAACAAGTTCTTCGACGCCGACTACGTCATCCTGGTCGGCGAGGATTGCAACGGCGACGAGACCACGCGCCTCGTGTCCATGTGCAAGAAGCAGCCCAACCAGCAGCTGCCGGACGCCTTCCCCACCGACCTGTGTCCCTTCGACCAGGCCCTCGACTTCGTCGACCACCAGGTCACGCTCAGCCCCCCGGAGGGATACAAAGACGTGCTCGGCACCGTCAGACAGGACGACGAGTCAGGTGAGAATCATTTTTTTTTTTATCTATATTTGCCAACTTTGGTTTAGATCATGATGGATTTGTTCTGCGATTTATCTTTGTCCGGTAAAAAAAGCGTCGCTTGCCGATTTATATCAGTCAGAATGGGGGTAGAAATTAACCCTTATTTATACAGTTAACAAGTAAAAAAAATATTAAGAGAGATTTTTTTTAGCTTTTTTATAGCATTTGATTGCAACCTTTATACTTGCTTCTTAAATTTTTACTTTGCTTTTCAAGATAAATTAAAATAATTCATAAATTATTCTAGAAATTTCTGCTCTTCTATTTTATTGTGAATTTTCTCTGGATTTAAATCGAATATTTTTGTTTAAAAATTATAAACCTAAATTTAAAATTACTTTAAATTATTAGAAATTTTATTCACTTGACTATTTTGTTTTCTAAACACGCATTACTCAAACACTCTGAAGTTTCTGCAATAACAAACAAAGAAAAACTAGCTATACAAAAATATTTACCAGTTGGAATAAAATAATTTGCGTACGTGTATTTTGCAATTCGTGCTCACGCAAAAGCAGGAAAAAAACTTGTTAGCAAAGCAAACTATGTGAAAGATATTAATTGCGCTCGAGTGGTCTTTTAATAGGGTAAATTAGGTCGGCACCGCAATATTTTTGAATGAGACTGCGAATGATAAACGCACAAATTGAATGCGGAGGGAAATACGTGCATTTCAAAATGCAGTATTGCCGAGGGAAAAAATGAGCAGCGTTGAGCTGAGAGGGAAGCCATTCAAAGAAATTATTAATTTTCATCGGGAGCAGTGGAAAGGTCAAAAGTTTGACGCTGGACAAATTTAGAAAATCTAGGCAATCGATTGACTGCACAAATAACTTCTATTTTGAAAGAAAAAAACCGATTGTAGAAAGGAAATTTGGCATATTTATTGACTTAGGTTATCCAAATACAAACAAAAATTTACTGAAATAGTCAACAATTTAATTTAACGATTTTTTAATGTTACATTCTATAAAAACTATAAAAATTTAATTAATTTTTACTTAAAGAGGAATGGAAATGATAAAAATTTATGAAAAATCATTGTTTACAAAACGACGTCTCGAAATGAAGACAGAATTTAATTAGAGCAATGCGGAGGAATTTCGAGCTGCAGATGAAAATGAACGCAGCTCAATTATCGGTGCTGTGTGCATTAGTGGGTCGGCAGTTCCAATAACATCTCTGCAGCCCCTATAGCGAGCAGGGTGCCTTTCATGAATGGCCGGTTCATTGTGAAAACAACTGTGGAATGTGTTGGTTGGCTGCGAGTATTGATCCGCGGCGGACATTCTTACGCAAAGAGCAGCCGCCGCCGTTTTGCTGCGGCCCGACTTTGCACACAGCATCCCTCACACATCCGCGTCTAAAACTAATGCACACCTACTTTCTATGTTTATTTTCTGAGCCGAGATAAACAAACAAACAATGGAAAAGGGGTGAAATATATAGGCGAGTTTATTATTAGGTGAAGAAAACGGGCTTTGTCTTTAATTGAAAAATGGTTTTATTATTATTAATTATATATTATTATTAAAAAACTTTGGCCCTATTTTTATTTCAGTTGTGCTAATTTATAATGCAAAGATTGTAAATCTAAAACTTGAGATTTTGTTAATGTTATTTTCTCCTTAAAATTAATCTAGAGCTTGATTAAACGTTTTATAGCAGGTGTTTCTTTTTTTTTATCAAAAATTGCTCATGGAAATAAAAAATGTTCCTCAATTTTTTAGGGAAAACATGTAGAACAGGATATTTTTTCCTATTAAACAAAAACGATTCAAAAAACCAGCGATTAACTGAAATTTTTAAATTAAAACATGATATTGTGAATAAATTTTGTATCCGAAATGAAAAGTAAGGTTCATTTAATCAAGAAAAGCAAATTTTTTCCTCTTGAAATGTAAAATTATCGAATTTAATTAGTGCATTACACGGATGAGCTGTTTGGAAATTAAATTATGAAGAGCCATTAGTGAAATTAGCTGTGGAGATGTCATAAATTTTGCCCAGCTGTGACTACTTAAGAGCTCAACTAATCGCTGCGCAGGCATCTGGCGAGGAAAACACAATCCTGCATTAATCAGGAGACCGCTGCTTTAATACAAATCAGAGCTTCACAGAGAAATAGCGAAGCACTGAGCAAACATTCAAGTCGACGAACGTCTCTAAACCAAACACGGAGGAAGAGCAGCCGAGATCACGTCCCTCTGTGCTGTGTTTGCAAATATTCGGTTGGCGAACCCGCAAAATCCCTCCGACGGCATTCAAATTCGCAAAATGTCGCACGCAAATTCGGCGATTATTTGTCTCGATTTGCAATTCCAAGCAGTCCTAAATTCCATTAGCTCGAGATGAATTTAGCAAATGTAATTGTTTAAGAACACAAAATAAGCCTTTTAAGGAAATGAATATAAATTGATTCTTCTTGTTTTATTTCAGAAAAAACTATTACCAACATTAAAATAACATTTTTCCTATACATTAATTTAATCTCAAAATGAATAAAGTGTTTCATTATCAGATCATATAAATATTAAATTATTATAATAATATAAACTAAATTATTTGAAAAAATAAATATTGAAATTAACATTACTTCTTGCGGGAATTTTTTAAAATAATTTTTTCCTCAAAATTGGCCCAAACACAATTGATAAAATTTCACCAATTCACGTTCATACAACCTCAATTAAAATGGAAAAATAAAATCAGTAAGTCAGTTGGCATCAGAAATTTACATTAATTTGAAGGGAAAAGTTAGAGAAATTTTAATTTCAGTGTAGATTTCATGAGCTCCTCGTTAAATAACATTTTCTAGAAATAAAGTTTACTATCAGAAAATATGAAAATTATTATTAATAAATTTAATTGAAACTGCATTAGAGAATCGAGATAATAAACCATATCAAATTTGGCTTTTAAAATTATATAAAAAAACTGAAAAAAACTTATGTATTTTATTTGAGAATTAATTCTTATTTTTGCTAAAAGTGTATTGAAAAGTTTCATGATTTGAAATTTCTCCGCTCAGCGGCGAAAAAAAGCAAAGCTATCTGTTAATAAAGCTCATGAAAAGCTTGTTTTCAATCCCCTTTGTCGAAATGGACACGGTTTTTACGAGAAAAGCAAACTTGAAAACGAGTCTAGCAAAGGCGCTCTTCATAAAAATTCAATTAAAAGTAGCGGCGCGCGCGAGCAAATAACCCTCTCTGCACACCGAAATAGACGGAAACGCACTCTCCGCCTTTATTCGGCCCTCTGGAGAGATAAAAAATTCCTCACCTCGCCAGATAAAAAGAAAGCACATGAGCTGTGAATTTTTCCTCACCAGCACGTGTTTCGATTTTTCTTCTTCTTATTTACAACACAAGATGGATTTCGAGAGATTGCTCCATATTTTTTCCTGTGACCTGATTTCGCAGCAAAAGTCACGGGAGCCGGGACAATTCAATTTCACAGCGGACGGCTGGAAAAAAGATTTCGTTTTCCACAACTCTTGCTTGCGCGGTCTGATCGAATTTCTCGCGAGGAAGACGTAGAAGTTGAAACAATGAGGAAGTTCTTATTTTCTGCTCGGAGAAATAATAATAAACGTGGAATAAAAAAAGAAGCTCTTTTTTTTCTGTGATTATTTTTGAAAGCAAATAAAAATATGTTTTAATTTTTTTATGGGAACAATGGAATTTCTGATCGTGCTATAAAAGTCTACCTGAATGCAAACAAAATCAAGAAAGAAAATTTAATTAAAATTCCCACTGCTTATTTTTGCAGTGAAAATTATGAATTTTATTAACAAAATTTCTCTTCCAAAATTAAATCTTATTCTGCAGTCTGGGCATCTCGAAGTTCAAAGAAATTTGAGATTTGAAGATTAGAATTTTGCAAACCGCGCTCACCATGTTTGCGGTCCTCTCTATTTTTGGTCGCTTCTCCAGACTTGTGTGCCGGCGGCTTTTGCCTTTGAGGGCTGCACATTAAACAAAATTCCAACCATCTCTCCGAGGGCTGCTTTTCAAAGAGGCGTCCTCGCCCGACGAGTGTTTTCTTGTGTGCAGAGAGAGAGATTCGTACATACAAGAAGAGAATGCGCCACGGCTGGAATCCGGTGACACTCTCTGCTCTTCTTGTATGTTCTCCGCACAAACCGAAGAATTTATTCGGCGACCCGCGTTTTGGATCAGCTCCCAATTGGCCCAATGAAAGAGTTAAACAACCGAATTGCTCGAATTCAGACACACCATAGTAAATTTCGAGGGCGTTTGTCACTTGTTTTTGGTTTGGAGAGAACCAAAAAATTCAACAACTATCCTGGGCTATTTTAATCAGTTGAATCTTTGAAGGAAAAAAATTAATTCCATCATCGATCCAGTTTCGTAAATGTGAAAGAAAATTTCACATTTAAAAAAGCGCAAAAACAGCCAAAATATAAATTTGTAACTCTTTATAATTTTAATTAAATTGAGTTTCAATTTTAAACAAAATCGAATAATAATTTCATTAATGATCCAGGCCTGAATATTTGATTGAATTTCGCTCATTAAGTAATTATTTGTGCTCAAATATTTGATTAAAACTCAAATGTAAATAGACATTCACTAAAATTTATTTAATTATAAAAATACAACATGGAGATTTTTTACTGGAACGCTCCATTTCGATACTAATTTGCATATTCTAATTAAGCCTACCACCACTTAGGAATAAATTTGCAAGGAAATTACTTGAATTTCCATAGTCAATATAGCCGGAATAATTCTTGTTTTTTTCCTGTTTCGCCACAACATGTGGAAAATGGAACTCAACAAGTTCCAATTGTGCAGTTGGAAAGTAATGAGGTCTTGACCTGCATCTCTCTCGAGGGGGGTCCATTGTTCCGCGTGCAAAAAGTGGCACAACAGCGCTGCTGGGCGACGAGGAAAGTGCAAGTGCACGCGCGCCGGAAAATGGAAAATGAGCGA